ACAAAGTCGGTGTTCAAGACTAAGGACATCACCTCCGCGTGCACTGGGACCTCTTATGACAACAACAATATTTGACCTGTTAGCACAACAACAATATTATTAAGTTATGGCGCCACTCGAGGTGCGCGGCATGCAGTGCCTCATTTACATGGCGGTCGACGTCTTGGCAGTACAAACATCATGATTATGAAGTTACACTGTACCTGTACAGTAGCGAAGTGCATTTAACACTGTTCGATTGGAGCTAAGTGACATGTCCCTGGGGTCACCAACATCGAAGTTGATGCAGTTGGATTAGTTGATTGTCTCCAGTCGTGCCAACACCGAACTGCTTCAGTCAATCTGCAACGCCAGTGATAGTATGAGCGAAGCGTGCCTGTGATTGCTGCTGGGTGTACCGGATTGTTGGCAGGCTGTACATGGTAGCAACGTCGTACTCGGAGTAAGTCTCATGCTCAGCTTGGTCTGGCACTTGCATAATTTCACCACATGATACTCTAGTACTACTAGTAGTAGGTGTGTTTCGTAGTTTGTTTCGTAAATACCCAGATAAAGGGAAGTATGTACAGCACAGCTTCGTAACTACCATTCAATCAAATTGTACATTGCACGAGTGGTGTGATTCATTCGATGGCTTGGTACTACAGTAGTAGTACATAAAGGGAGGGTGACCAGGTGACAGTAACGTTACTTATACGATTAATAACAGTTAATCTAAATGGTTTATTTGGTGTAGTGTTCAGCAGCCTTGTACACGCCGAAGGCGGCGGCGGCCGCAACGGACGCAAAGAATGTCGACACGGACAGGGGCATGCCAAAAGGAGGTACGGCGGGCACGGCGATGTTGCCCGGGTCTTCGTACAGCACAGTCTTGGTGTGTTGCTTGTCGTTGACGATGGCGGCGGCACGTCGGCCGGCGACGAAGCCGTCTTCGTGGAATCCACGGCCGAGCCATGCGCCCGAAAGCGTGATGCCTTCCTCTTGGATGATGTCATCTTGGGGCAGGCAATCCACGAGGCGGCGGGGGTGGTCCCACGGGAAGTCGAGGACAATGTTGCTGGGTTTGCGGCCCTTGTAGTCGCCTGGCGTGATGGTCACGAACACGTTGTCGGTCGATTTGAGGTGCTGGATGCGGTTCATCCAGTACGTCAAAATGTACTGGTCGTCGTCCATGATGCGGACGTTCCAGCTGCTCCACGCGCCCTTGTCCTTGCTCAGGAACGACTCGTCGCGATGGACGTACATATGACTCTTGTGGAAGTAGTAGTCCATGAGTTTGTTCTTCTTGGACCATGGAAGGAGCGCCGCGCTCTCGTCCGCGTGCGAAGCCAGCACGACGTGGTCGCATTCGATGCGCTCACCCGACGCCAACACGACCGCCTTGCCACCCTCTTCGACCAACGTGGCGGTGGCGTTGGTCTTGAGCACACCGCCCTTGGATTCAAAGTACTCCAAGAACGGCGCCTTGTACGCTGACCCAATGTACCACCACAAGTGCTTGGGGCGGTCCACGCGGCGACCCAATGCGCCCAAAATGACTTGCCACAGTGGAATGTACAGCGAGTTCGAGTGCGTCTTCAAGCAGCGAAGGAACTGCGACGCTGGCAGCGTCATCACGTCGTGCTTGGGCACAGTCCACAGAATCGACACGAACGGCAGGTAGTAATGGCGGAAAAACGCCTTCGAGTACCGCCCCGACGCGGCCCATTCTTCGGTCGAGATGTTGGACGTCACGGGCATCGTCAACAAGTCCACCGTGAACTTGAAAATGTCGTAAATGACTTGCCACTTCTTGATCGAAAACAACTCCCAAAACGACGAAAACGGCTTCCGCGACGAAAACTGAATGTCCCCGGGAATGTCCGAGTCCACGGACAGCGACATGGGGATGCGCGTCTTGGTCGTCCCGTCTTCCTTGGTAATGCCAAACTGCTTGAACCACGCCTTGATGTTTGGGTTCGAGTCGCCGAACATCATGAACCCCAGGTCCACGGGCTCCCCATCCACTTCAATCGCGTATGTGTGTCCGCCAAAGTAGTCTTCCTTCTCGAGCAAGACCACTTCATGGCCATCCTTCACCAAGTGATACGCGGCGGAGATGCCGCCGATTCCCGACCCCACAACAACAACTTTCATGGCCAGAGTTACTTTGAAAATGAGACCTCACGATTTTCGATGCAAAGAAAGGGGGAAGTTCCCCTCATCTTTTGCGCGCTTCTTTACGATCACGGGCCGACGTTAAACCTTTAAACGTCATGCATTCCTGGCGTTTAGACGGCCAATTTTGCATTTTAACGTTACGTTAAACATTTGGCGCCATGTTTGATGTCTATCAGTCACAGTAATTTAATACGTATGCCGATCACACTTAAAATACTGTGGACATGTGTGACGCAACAATGTCCATGATTGGCCACAGGTCGATTTCGATGACTGCGTTCGGGACTTTCTATCACACTATTTAATGTGTGCTTCAGAACATGCACATGTTAGTCACAGGCGACACCGTCCATGGCACCATTTCTGAAAAGCGCGCCTACTTTGTGTCAAGAAATACTCCTAGAGTACAGTAGTATTCGTATCAGTACCCAGGCTTAGTGGTTTGCTCATCGCAATAATCGGACAAAAACTCCTTAACGTTAACCAGCCCGTCGATAATACTAGTAGTTGAAGTTCTCTTCGGCCCCTACTCGATCCCCGTACAGTACCCATATCGGTATGCCTGAGGATTTGGGGGACACATTACGCCCCACTGACCCCGCTGTGCAACTTTTGATCACCTCCGATGGTTAAAGGCGACTCTCCCCCTTCGTCGAAATCGAACAATCGCACGAAATGACAGTCATCATATAGCAGTTAACATGCTACATAGTAGTGCGCTAGTAGGAGTTAGAAGAAAGAGTCCATCTACTTGTCTTTCTGAAATACGGTTCACGTTTGAATTATATGTGGTGCAGTCTTCAACTCCGAACTGCCAAAGGCGCTACTCTGGAACTACTCGTACAAGTAAAAACTAATCCAACTGTCACTCCTTACATACATCGAAGTCACGGTGTGATTCAGGTCATATCAGCATTGGCGTACGGTCCCGTGATTCGTAGACTATCAAGCCGGGGAGGATATACCGGTATGTCGTAACGCCATAAAGTTGTGCGCAGTTATTTCAGCTGGTGCTGCCTTGCAAATCGGCCAGGACGTTGGGCAATACTGGATATACTACAGTATATATATATATCCTCATTGTAATTGTTAACGAAGAGTCTTAGGTACCTACCTGGACTGTATTCGACGAGTAAGCACTGCCATTGTAAAAATTCGAAATCAGATTTCATCACTCTCACCATCGACGGGCATTTTTTCGACAGGTGTGCATAATTGGGCAATTCACAGCCAATGAGACGCGAGTACTCAAATAAAGCAATTTCATTGGTTAATCTTGTAACCGACAGTGCTCATCGCAACAGTTCACGTGGCAAACGGAATATGATCGTATGATCCCGATACCAGAACCCAATCATCACACGATACGGCGGCCCCTCCTCCACCACGTCGTTGCGAACGATTGAGGTGTACTGTGAGGACCGCCCTTCGCCCCGTATTCATCTGGTGGCAAACATGTACGTACCAGGTTCGAATGCGTGGATCAGGGGTCACCTGGGGCTGGTAATCGTCTCGAACACCTCCGTGACAGCAACATCGGCATTTTCAACGTTCAAAGCATTTTGATGGATGTGAAGATGTTTAGGAAACTCGGGGGTACCGTTGGCAACATACGCAGGATCCCATGTGCGTTATATTGATGAGAATAAATACTTGAGCTCGCACGAAGTTGGATATGTACAGCATCTCCTTCGGCTGATGAATTGCGTTCGCATTCCAATGAGAAGGGGAAGACGTTGCCCCAGCGAGAACGCCCATCCCTTAAATACTTGTCACGCACTCGGACTTGGTGCTGACGAATATCAGGATTAAGGAGCGTTCACACTGGCATTCGCTCTTCACGACGCCAGCGTCCTCCATGCCTTGGACAATAACTCTTGGAATTCAGATTCTTGGAGGAAGCCGTGCGGCACCGAAGCATTCAAATCATGCCACTGAACGCAGGGATACTTCGCTGTCGTTGTCCTTACATTATTATCCCGTTGCGACGACGAGGAGTCGACACTAAAGCTGGTTTACAGGTAACCTTGTACTCAGTAATTGAGCTTTGATACTAGTAAACAAAAAAGGAATTCGAGGATTGGTGTCTCCCAGAAAAATGTGTTTTGACGAATCAACGATGCATTCACTTTATGATTGGTTGATTAATCACCAATCAGATAGTCGTTTCAATTGCTTTGAGCATTGTCAACAGGACATGGACGTGGCGGAGTACGTGACCCGCCTTTGCGAAGGTCTGAGAGAATGCGAACAAGCGTCTTTGCGTACAGTTGTGCATGAAGGGTAGGATTACCCTATCGGGTATCGTATGACCATGATTTTAACAGGGGAAACCGTCTGGCTCGCTTAAGAGACTTGCAGTCGTTGGCTGCATGTCCAGTCCTTGAACGCCACGAAACGTCGGGGTGCTGTGGCAGCGACGAGGCAGTTTCTTGCTCTTGCATCCACGCCAAAGATCCTCCTCAGCATATCATTTCCACAACTACTCCTACAACGCTCACCGTCATGTTACTCGGTCGCGTGGTCACCTCTAACGCGACACTTTCTCGCAACTCGTGGCCAGGTTTGTACCTCAGTGACGGCGACGTCACCCTTCCTCTGGTCCTGCTCCGTCCCAACATTGCATGGCTGCACCAGCTAGTGTGCATCACGTCGTGGAAATGCATCCAAACCCGCTCCATGGCATACCTCGAAGTTGATAGCATCCATCGTCTGGTCACGGTGCCCATTCCAATCTTGCCAGCATATATGACGTGGCAGTCTCTTCTAGCGTCCTGTTATCCTGCCCACAATAGACCTACGTATGCAGGTCCGTACCCGGTGCAGCGCGCCTTGTCGAAACGCGCCACCAGCAAGTCGTGGTCATCGAAAAAAAGCAAGAATTTCGTGGTGGCCGGGCGCGTCGCCGCCATTTCACCTGTGTCCACCCAATTGGACAGTCAGTACTTCTTTGTTGAAATCGAAGCAGCCAGCGACCCCACGACAGGACCGGCATCGCCGTTGGTTCGGCAGTTCATTTCCGTGCTCATGGCAGGCCACACGGCAACGTTCCACTCGTTCCTGTGGCCAGGGCTAGAGATTGTGCTCACAGATCTGGTCAAAGTATTTGCCAAGGAGTGCAATATGTACATGCTGCACACAACAACGTCGGCGGCGTCCTCGTACTCCTCGCCCCATACCCCCCCCCACGAGGCCCACACCACGTTGCATCACGCGTCGGTCGCCCCCACGTCCCACTTGCCGCCGCTTCACATCTTCCGCGCGTTGCCTCGTTACGATCGCCAGTCGTCATCTAGCAGCCTCCACTACACCGGCCAAGTCACCCGTCGAGTCTGCGACGACTCGTTTGAGCTAAACCACTCGGTGGTTGTGTTGTTTGCGCACTTCCCCCTCCCGAATCGCTGCGCGGGGCTTCGCGTCGGCGCCACGGTCACCATCTTTCAAGGCCACCGCCTTGGCCCGTCGCTGATTGGCTTGTGCTCTCGCAGTAGTGTCGTCCTGGACGAGTTTGCGTCAGCTCCGACGCCCATGCACCTCCACCCTCGGTCGTCCCGCGTGCAAGAACTAGCGTTCCACCAAGTCCCTTTGACCACCGTGGCGTATTTACTGGAGCTGTCCCAAGACATGTTGACACGATTTAGCAGGTATGGCGCGACCGGCGCCGCCAGTAATAACCGCGACCCCAATGGACGTCACTCTCCAGCGTGGGATGTATTCCAAGACGCGACTGTGCGGAAACAAACGCTCTTAAGGCAGCTGGCGTCTTCTGCGGGGGTCGTGTGGCGGCCCAGACCTACGTTAGGTCATAGCTTTCTCTGCCATTCCGCCACGACTTGCTTTAGCGGTGCAGGTACCAATTCTATCTATATCAACGCAAATCCAAATATTCTATGCCATGGCCACATCCTGTATCTGATGACATGGAGGTTAGACTCGAACGAAGAACGGATGGGTCGTGCTATTTCCTTGCAAGCACTGGTGGACCGGATGGTGGCGCGCTTGACGAGTGACTCGCTGGACGACGACAATCTCGTTCAGCAAGTTGTGTATCCATCTTCGGACGATCCGCAACCATCCATTTTACTCGTGGGATGCATCGAAGGCTCCATAGCCACAAACGACCTTTGCCTTGTCGATCGTACAGCCAGTATACCGCTTGCACTCGTCACTCCTGGAAACGTACAGATCGCTTCTGTGCCGTCTGCGATACTGTACCATATTCTAGCGTACGACGTTGTGGTCACTCGAGTGCCGCTGCCAGAACCCACCGACGACCATCGCCGACAACTTGGCCAATTCACCTCGATCGCCGCCCCTTCCACCAGTACCCATGCCACCTACGTCCACATTCGGTGCCACGCCCTCCGACCAGTAGTTTCATCCTCACCACGATCAGACGCTGTCGCAGCCACTGCATCGTCCACACATCGCCGCCGCCTGCTTGTCCTTCGCATCGACATCCTACCGCATCCGCAGGAAAAACGACGACCTACCCACGTCCTCGTGCACGGCGTCCTCGTCCCGCCCCCCTCGCAACCCTCAACAGCGTCCGACTGGTGTATGGCGCAAGTGTTAGTACCTTGGTCTGCCTGGGCATGGCACGTGCATTGGGCAAGTGTATGGGACATTTGTTTCAAGGTCGTTCCCCATCGGATCGAGTTTACGCCGCCTCTTACATCTGCCTATGCATTCGAGTACCACTTGGCCAAGTTCAAACAAGAGCAATACAAACGAGGTCATGGTAACGAGGTCGACTGGAACGACCTGCACACGCGGCCAAAGGTGACGGAGGCGCTGGTTCAGTATCGCATATCTGCCGACAACGACACTACGTTTGTATGGGTTGCCACGCTGTACGAAGACGGCTCCTTACACCACCACCCCCACAACGCAATATGGACCTCCATGGCCATGCATTACGAAACGATGCATCCCCCGTCGAGTCTGCATGTGATTCCGTTGCAAAACCCTTCCGAACGGCCGCTTGCAACACATGTCCCCCCACAGCCGCACCCTAGTGCCTTGGAGGACCGCCTCGTGTCCACGTACGGCATTGTCACAGATTTGGCCATCGTCCCTGCGCACGAGTACCACCATATTCGCAGCAAAGCCTCCTCCACCGCATCGCATGACGAGATGATTCTGCAGGTGACAATGCAAGATCTGAACGCCCCTGATGTTGTCGTGGTGGGGCTCTGGTTGAACTCGACTCGACGCTGCCAGGCTGGATGGCCATCCGGGCTGGCCTTGGGCGTCCACCTCGTACTCCATCGCGTGAAAGTGAAGGTCCGCAAACGGGGCTTCAAGCTCGACATGGTCCAAATACATACTACCGCCGTGACCATTCGCTGCGACAACGCGATTACGTACTCGAGATCGTCGTGTCGTAGTACGAGTTGGAATCGGTCGTTGGTTCGTAGTGGCCTCGACGCGCTGACGGAGTCAGCAGCAGAGCAGACGACTCCGGACACGATGATGATTCACATGTACCAATACTTGACCATCGACCGCCGCATCCATCGGTTTATGGCGGCAGTGTGTCACGTCAGCTACGCCATCTTGAAATGCATTTGCAAGCACTGCCATGGTCGGTTGACAAGGGAAATAATCTCGAGCAGCGGAAACCTGGCCATGCCCATGAGACATGCCGCGTACAACGTGTGTAGCCGTGCCCCCACCCCCATGGTGAACTTGCTCCTGCGATGCATCGTCGACGACGGGTCTGCCCAAGTTGAATTACATTGCGAAGGGGAGGTAGCCTGGAATCTCTTGCAGGTAGTAGTAGTTGATACGCGTATGCATGTCAACGAATCATGACCGATTGTAGATGCCACAACGAACGGTGTTTGAGACGTTGGCCATGGAGCAGGCGGGAGAGCTGGCGTACTATGCCAGCAACGACGTAGCCGAGGGCACCCGTGAAGCATTGTGGCGGAAGGCCGTCCTCGATGCGCTGACCTACTTGGGCCAAGTGTCGTTGTGTGCAAGGAGGTTCTTTGCCAAAGCGACCAATGAAGCGACTGCTGCGCAGGGACCTCCGATGTCCGTCCTCCGGTGTGGCGACTTCTCCGTGCGGACTCCTGTGCAACCCATGGTTCACATGGAAGCTACTTCCGTTGACGTTGTGTATGCGAAAGCTGAACTCCGGCGACTACTGTATTGATGATGAGTCCACATGGACCTGCTAGTGTACACTGTATATCCGGCAATTTCAGCTTCCTCTTGAGGGTATTAAAATAGTTTGTTTTAATTTACACTTGGATAAAGTATTAAACATAACAATGTGGAAATTAAAAATGGATTGTTATTACCTTACAGAATGTAGGTCCAACCTTCAGTTGGTTAGTTGGTTAAAATGCATCGCTGCCTCCTTCGGCCATTATTGCTGTGGCCGACACGACAAACGAGGGTGCGTCATGACGTACCCAGCGAGTGGACGCAACCTCTGCATGTGAAGAGCGACTTGTTTTTCGTTGGAGCGATCTTGGTGTCAGGATTGACTGCCTATGGGGCAACAAAGCAGTATTGGTCTCATGGGGGCGAGCCAGCCGTTCCGATTAGCACCACTGATGATGCGGAGGAGCCGACTACTATAGAACCGGAAGTTGATGCCATCAATAGTCCTATTTTGACAAAGGAGACATTGATGGCTGTGGTTAAGGAGCTCGAGGCGTCGATTCACTTGTTGCTGGTATGTATGTATGTAGCTCCCATTGTGCTACAAACACAAGCCAACGTTCGTGATTTAGGACCATGTGCTCATGGGTGTTGCTGATGTACGAGGGCCAGAAGGTGCTGTGGATGTGGATAGTCTCACAGAGTCCTTCCTGGTCCAGCTGGAACAAGCCAAGACGGAAGTATGTTCACTTTTTTGCATCTTGAATGGTACATTCATCGGGACTTATGTAGATTTTGGCCAAGCATGGCCTTGCTCCCGAAGTGCTTGCTTCTGCGATCGAGAGCCACGCAGATGACGACGACATCAGGCTCGCGCTAGCCCAATGTCGTGCTCAGCTACAGTATGGAGTTCACAGGTGTAGCCATCGGTCGCGATGATGCACTGAATCTGTAGAGTGCAACGAAACGTAAAGTTGACGCAGGAACAAGTGCTGCACATCATTCAAGACGGATTGGAGTTGGTGGCGACGACTGTAGACGAGGCTCAGGGTGATGACGCTTCGCAAGATGGAAGTGGCCAAGAGAACGATCCAACGTGGGTCGACACTATGTAGTCGCCATGTAGCCAACATTGACCACTTGCATCATAGGTACCAAGAAAAGTTGAATGCCAAGCTCTCGGCAAAGCATGGCCAGGTGAACGACGAGGTATATCATACTCAACCCGAGTTAGATGCGTTCTGAACCTTGGGTAGGAGTTGGCTCGCGCAGTTGCTCTGTTCGCTGCCGGGGACATCACGTTCCAGCGAAAGCTCCAGGCGCTGTATGCTGCCCATCGATCCAGGTAGTAACTGCTACGGGTTCCAAAACGATGCTAAAGGACCGACGGTGGTAAAGGATGGCTCAAGAGTCTTGCCGACACCCGAGTCTAGTTGCGCCGTCTCACCGTAGTCGAATTATTCATTTCACAGGGGTATATTAGTTAAGGCAAGTTTTTCTCTGCACGTGGCTTTCGGTTGGGTGGATGTGTGATTGGCGCCCTGGTCTCAGAGAAAATGCGTTTTAAAGGGTATATCTGGCATTTCCGGATAACGCAATGCGATTGTTATGCGTGATTGGTTACCATTGCCCGCGCATTTCAAATTACCCAATCAATGTCATGTTTCATATCAAAGGATAGAGGTTTAGGCTGAGTCGACGTTCACCATACAGGTATACTAAAACCAAGATAAGGAGTTTCCAGTTTAAAATTTATCATTTAGCTCTTCGAATCGAAGACGTAAAGTACGAGGCGAGCTCTCTCTGCGTCTTGCCTCCTTGCGACGAATCTCAAGTGCTGCACCGTTCGCTCACCTGTATATGCCTGAATCCACCGTGATGCAAAGCGCTGTTCAATCTGCCGTGGGTGGCCCACTTGCCAAGAAGGCACGGGTGAGAGCCCCACCTAAAACCGCCGTCCCAAAAGCCGCTCCGCCGCCCAAGGTTGTCGTTGCGGCCGCCAAACCTGACTCAACCACACCAAAAGCAAAGCGACCGCCGTCAACAACAGCAGCGGCAAAGAAGCGCCAGGCAGCACAAGCTGCAGCTGCTGCAAGCTCTAACGTGCATGGAATGGCAAGTAATTCAACCAACAACCCGTCGACAACGGCCGAAAGCAACACATTTGCCACAAACGGACCCTCCACCACTGTAGGCAACATGCATGGCGGAGGAAATAGTGGCGGCAACGGTCTGCAGCGTTCGTATTCAGGTGCTTCACTCTCTGCCACGCCTACTCAGTCCACACAGGCGGCTACAGGATCAGGGCTCGGGAACACCCATCCCAGCACTGCTCCGGCATCGTCCACGACGGATACCGTACCATATCCCGATCCGACCATGCGACGTACCGCCATGCAAGCGTTATACGTGCGGTACAAGCAGCTCCATGGAACCAAAATCGACGACACGACGTTGCAGCGCATGGCTGCTCGGACCGAGCATCAGATTGCCACGACCAGCACCAATCGTGAAGAGTACATGATCAAGTCCCAGAACGAGATGGCCCGCATCGACATGAGCCAACGGATGAACAACACCCCACCCCATTCAGATGCTGCTGCAACGGCCAACAACAGCCACCCATCGGCCGCCAACAAGGCAGGCGTACCGCCACCCACCGCCTCCGCTGGCATCGCTCCGACCAATGCCATGGCCAACTCGTTTGCCCAGCAGCAGCAGCACATGCTGCAGCGCCAACTGTCGCAGAACAACGTGCCGTTTTTTCACGACAATGGCACGAGTATGCAGCAAGCCGCGCTTCAGCAGCAGCAGCAGATGATGGCCAACACTGGCGGCAATCCATTCCAACACGCGGCCGCGCCAGGCAACTTGTCATACCAAGAGTTTTGCCAACGCATGCAGTTTCAACCGATGGAAAAGCTCGTGGAAATCATGTGGAACCAACGGCTCATGATCTTCCAGCTGCAGCAAGAGAACGGCGCGGTCAAGAAGCAGTGTGCCACGTACCAGCAGGTGATCATGTCCATGAGCTCCATGCACAACCACGGGGGGTACAATGGCGGGCTCATGCAGCCACAGCACGCAGCGTCGTTCTTTGGCCAACCTTCCGTTCCATCGCAACCCCCCATGAAGTCGTTTGGGGGCGGCGCCACGCCGTCCACTGGCGGGTACACCCCCCAACAGCAACAACAGCATATGGATCCAACGGGGGGAGGACAACTTTCCCGCCAGTCGTCCATGACGAATGTGGCCACTGCCTTTGGCACGCCCCAACAACAGCAACAAGTGTCGACGCCCCAGTCAGTATACGGCACTGCCGCGACGCCGCAACCCAGCGCGGCAACGGGGACGACCACCACCCCCACCACAACCACAGCGACGACTGTGGGCGTTGGTGGGGCGCCTTCGATGACCCCCGCGACGGCGGCGGTCTACTGGGCCAAAGTTCAAGACCTCAAAGCCAAGTACTTTGAGCAGCTGAAAAAGGCGTACCAGATCTTGTGCATGGCGGCGCAGTCTGGATCGCGACAAACGTCCAAGGCTGAAAGCATGAAGCAAAATATTCACTATGCCATGGTCGTGCTCAATGAGACGGAAGCGTCGGCGCCGCAACCGCGGGAACCCAACGTGCTGCAGGCCATCGAGACGTTTATCGTCGACAGCATCGTCCCGCTGGTGCGCAAGGTGCACGAAGTGTCGTTGCAGCAGCAACAACTACAGCAGCAACAGCAGCAGCAGCAACAGCAATCCGCCGCAGTTCCCGGCGAGTTTACCAAACAGTTGACAGACGCCATGGTGCACCAACGGGTGGTGGCTTCACAACTCAAGCAGGAGCCGCCACCCAAGTCTGTCCAAGGACCACCACAGCCATTGCCGCCTACGTCTGGCGACACCGCGGGGGTTGGGGGTCCCGTGGGTCCCGTGGTGTCGAGTAGTGTGGACCACCCCCCGCCCCCGTCGCCACTGTCGAATGACCCGGCCAAGAAGGAAAACCAAAGCCACCTGAGTAACACAATGGACGAGTTCGACGACTTTCAAGGGCTGGACGACTTGGACGACGACAAGCTGGACGACGACGATGGTGATGACACCATGGGCGATCATCCATCCGGTGCTGCCGCCGTTGCGCTCGATGTGGCGGCTGGAGGGGTTCCTCCACAAGACAGCGCTGTTGCGGCGGCGGCGGATGTGGGCGACGATGCCGCTGCCGATGCCACCGACGACATGGTGGTTTCAACCAGCCCAACACCAACAACTGCGTCGACCACCAGCAGCATCTCAAACACCAGTAGCACCGCAGCAACTAGCGACCTCAACGATGACAGCGCGTCGTCGAAGCGGTCCCATAGTGAAATTTAAGGCAAACGTTGTTCTTTTTGTGTGTTGAAGAATTGGGTAGTATGTGTATACGTGCTAGGTTCGAGGAACGATATATATATACGATGATGATGGTTGGCAAAGAATCCATCCATCCATCGTGGGGCTGTAGTACATTAGTTGTGGGGATAGTGTATTAGTTACTATGTAGTACTAAAGTCTGTACGGTGGGATGCAAGCGTAGCGGCGGCGTGGGGGGCTGTCGTCCTCCGTTGGCATGCCATCGCTCGTGGTGATGGTACGGAATACGATGGTCGTTGGTCATCATCCTCATGGGGGGTGCCAGTCGACTTGGCGGGGGGCTGATGCTACTGACCGACCCTGCTACATGTAGAGTATGTGCGCGGCTGAGCTTGTACTTGGCTCGATCACCGGCAGCTTGGGCGCGGCCGTGGGGAAACACTGACGACGGCAAGTCCTGCCACGTCATATACGACAAGGCAGCGGGGGGTTGGCTACTAGTCGACCGACTGGTCGTGTGCAATTCCGTGGCCTTAAAGTACGTGAGCACCGGCGCGACGATGCCCTCGGCCATTCCCACGCCCGTCTGACTGGTTGCGAGCTCAAACCCGACAAAGAAGGCGTGGTCCGGGGCTCCAAAGTAACTTGGAAATGGGTGCACCGTGAGCACGTGGTGTGTGAGCTGCAGCGCGTCGACCAATTTGCGCAATCGGGACGCGACAAACCCGACTTGGGCGGCGTCCCCCGCCGCCGACGACCTCTCGTCCGAAGACGGGGCCACGCGGACGTGGATGTAGTGGTCGTAGCGCACGAAAAAGTCGCTGGGGGCGAAGAGGGGCCCCCACGCCACTGGGCTCGTGAGGCCCTGACCTGCCATGTCGTCCAGCACGAGCTTCCCACGGGTGAGCTCCTCTTTGAGCACCCGCAGCGTCGAGTGCGTGACGTTGGCCGCCGAGTTCATGGTCGGGTACCCCGGCGTGAGGATGGGCATCACGTGCGCGCGATCGTGCACGTGCAGTGCGGGGCTCCACTGCGCAAAGCCGTGGCCGGCATCGTACGGCTTGGCGAGCATCACTGGCATCGGCCACTGCCACGTCGACAACACGTTAAAAAAGTGGTGGAGGAGGGACCCTGCGACAGCGTGGGGGAACATTTGGCACACGAGGGCGACCAGCACGGTCCACGAGATGCCCCCTAGAAACCCGACCTTGTTTGAGTACAGCCCCCGGGCCTTTGCCCATGCGCGGACGGCGCGGAGGCAGCCGCGGAACGCCGTGGGGTTCGGGACCAAGTCGAGCACGAGCGACGCGACGCGGGGCACAGAGAGCGACCGGACGGACGTCAAGTCCATACCCACGAGAATGTGGTCGCTGTGCAGAGGCAGGTGTTTGGGTACGACGGACTGTGAGAACCGACTGAAGAGCAGGTCCACGTGGATGTCGCCGTGAAACGTGCACGAGATGGTGGGGACGTACGCTTCCTCCATGCACACGACATGGTCCACGGATGCAGAGGTTGACAAGAGCGAGGGCAGCGTCGTGAAGAAGTCGGCGGCGGTCACTTCGACCGGGCACAGCACGACCACGTCCAAGTCGGAATCGGCGTCGTCGACTTTGAGGTAGAAGCTGCCGCCGACAAACAGCGACGCTGTGCATGTGTGATGCAGTTGAACCATCCACTTGTCCACCAGTCGATCCAGTGCCACGAGCACGCGGTGTTTGGCCTTGAGCGTGTCTCCTTGGGGCGATGGGGCGAGGGAGTTCAAGCACTTGTGCAAACCGTTGGTGTGGCGCCGCTCGAATTCCGTCGGGGGAGGCAGGGGTGGGAGGTCGCCAGAGGAGGTGGGGGGCGCGACGAGGGGTTGCAGGTGGCATCGCTGCCGCAAGCCTTCCAACACCACATGTGTGGCGCCGCGTAGCATGGATTGGCGCATCTCTCGCTTCGAACTTTTGGTCAGCACGCCTTGCGATGCAGCGTGCGCAATGGCGCTTCGGATCGCGCGGGGATGCAATCGGGCGGCGGACGTCTTGTCCTGTCGGGATGAAAGCTCGGACGGAGGAGAGCTTGGTGGCAGTGGCGGGGGGGGCAACGCTCGGTCTGTGGCCCAAGCAGTTTTAGTCTCTCGTTCTTTCTCTGGTGGAACGGGACTGGACGTTGACGACACGTGTTGGTTGTCGTTCGAATTGAGGGGACTCTGATAATTGTTGTCGATGGGTGACATCGGCGCCGACACCGTGCCACATTCGGATGGAGTTGGAGACATTATGTTCGCCATCGCCGCTGCCGTCGTCGACGAGGTGGACCACGCGGAGCTGTGCAAGTTGGATGAAGCTGTTGTGTGCAAGAGCAGCGCTTCCTTGTAGCTGCTGCAGGATGTACTGGCCGTGGCAGTGGTCGTGTTGTTTGACATTACACCGTGCACGAAGGCGCGTTTGCCCAGCACGTGGCTCCCAAACTCGTCGTTGTTGTTGCTATCGAGGCCTCGCTTGCTTTGGGCTTCAGCGGTAGCCACTAGCGCGGCATCAGAGGACGACAACATGCAGTCGGTGCTGCTGCACACAGTGGGCGTCGATGCTTCGTCCAAGAGGAGCGTTTTTCGGTTATTGTTGTCGACAAGGGCTAAGGCCAGAGCCCGGGACCGCTTGGCCTTGCGCGATGACATCGACAGGACTGCGGTAGCGTTGGCGGTGGTCGGGCTAGTGGCTGCACCAGTGTTGTCCTTCATGTCGGATTCTCAACTGGATAAAGAAACTGGAGCATCCATGCCCCTTGGGCTACCCTGCCCCGATCTATGCCCAATTCGGACTCCTTCGCGGCTCTTATTGGTCGAATCTGCCTAGAACAACCGCCTGACCAAGCAAAGATATATAGAATCAAGGCCTGAAACCGTTCCATTATCCGGACGACTAGCCACGTATCCGGCATATGCATGGCGGTTTCATATTTGTGACACGAGGAATGCTCGGCTCAATAGATGATCCCAACTTAACGTTAGTGAGAATGATCGATGGAGTCGTCCCCATGAACAACGACAAGGATTGGCAAGGTTGAGATAAATGGGGAATATTATGGCAGCAGATGCGCGCGAAGGCGAGAATCCCGAGTCGCATTGGCGCTTTCCGCTTCGAGCAGCAGCGCTGCCACGTCGGCATGTCCATTCCTGAGCGCTAATTGTTTCGCTGTAGCCCCACACTAGAACGTAAACACACAAGGTCAGGTTGAAATCGTCAAGTGCTGGTTGGTCGCACTTCGTCTGTCCGATGAACGTCAGCATGGTGTTCCAGAAGTAACTTCACCGATCGCTTCTGCCCACGACTTGCCGCAATCATAATGGCTGTTCGGTGTTTCTAGTCGAATGGCATCATGCTTCTTCGCTCAAAGAAAGACATAGAAGAGGCGGCGGTACATTGCATAGTGTTTCGGTTCCGGCGCCGTGAAGCAAGAGTCGACGGGCCGCCTTCGTATATCCTTTCATCACGGCCAGATACAGCGGCGTGAATCCTTCCTAGGCAAACATAGCAATGTAAGTCGAATGACTCTGATGGCATATGTGGACGACTGTACAGTACGTAGCGGCAGTCGACCTCGGCACCTTGCTCCAATGCTGCGTCGAGCTTGGCAATGTCGTTCATGGCGGCCCCCTCGACGAGGGAGTAGTTGATCTGAGACCGGTCTACCCGCTCCTTCTTGCCGAGCCGTGACATGTTGCGTTGAGAAATTCGAGTGCACTCGTGTAGGACATACTAGTACTACTGTAGTAGTACTAGTTAGTACAGTTTACACATCGCTTTACTGTACAATGATATCCTAGAAATATGTACCTTTTTTAGAACAAAATTAGGTCATTTCTTCCGGATGTTGCCTGATTATAACCGGATGATGATTTGCTTGATTGGTTCATTTAAATTGTCCCTTTGAACACTTCTCATTTTGGATGAAAGGGCTCATCGCATCAAGCTGTCCGTGAAGCAACAACTAGGGGAGCGAGTGAAGGAATGTGATGATCTAATGGCATGACCACATCGACAGGCAGTAGTGTAAGTGGCTTGGATGAAAGGAAACACAACACCAGAGCCACGTTAGCTGGCGGTATGAGTCGCGAAGTTGAACACGAACAATCAATTCTGTGAAAATCATCATGGGGCCACTCCTGCAAAGTCCTAATGAGTCATGTGAAAGTAGCGTAGAGGAATACGTCGATGGTATCTAACTCAGTTACAATGAATAGGAACTTTTAAAGCAATACGATGGATGCATCCTCGGCTTGGAAAACTTCCTGGGTGCTCGTGACCATTGACGGTCATATGGCTGTACGCTATCGTGGACGACGGTGGTGGATTCACTTCGATACCTCAGGTCGTCCTTCATGCTTCCTTCTTTGCCGCATTAGGCTTGACCTCTGTAGCAGCAGGCAGCTCCATGGCCTTTTTCCAAATCGCATCGCGTCCTTGCGGCTGTCGCTGGACCGGGAGCGTTGGCACGCTCTTGACTTCATCGTCCTCGAGGAACTTGAGGTATTCATCCAGGTACCCAAACCGATGGGCGTATATGCCAACTAGTGTGAACACTTGGGACAAGAACAGCACTTGGTACCGCTTCGCCCACATAAACTCGCCGAGCCGCATGACTATGAAAGTGTTGTTCGAGAGAATGGTGGTGAACATAACGACAGTTTTCCGCGTAATTTAAAAAAACGATTATAAACTTAAACTTAGTATGAAAAATAAATTAATGTTTTTTATACTCCCAAGCATCTTTTTTCCTCCAATCAGATCCCGCCCCTGCGGAGAGAGACAGAAAACCCCAACGCAGTCACCATCGACGATGAGTGAAGCAGCTGCCCCGCAAGAGAAGCCGGCGGCCATCACGCCGCTGGCCAAGTACAAGCTCGTGTTCCTGGGGGACCAAGGCGTTGGGAAGACGTCCATGATCACGAGGTTTATGTACGACACGTTCGACAACGCGTACCAGGCGACGATTGGGATTGATTTCCTCTCCAAGACCATGTATCTCGAGAATCGCACGGTGCGGTTGCAGCTGTGGGACACGGCGGGTCAAGAAAGGTTCCGCAGTTTGATTCCTAGCTACATCCGCGACTCGTCGGTGGCGGTCGTCGTGTACGACATCTCCAGTAAGGAAACCCTACCTCATGTCGCCTTCCACCACGTGTCGTGTCATCACACATGTACTACTAGATCGCGCATCTTTCCTCAACACGTCCAAGTGGATCGAAGACGTGCGGGCGGAACGAGGCCAAGACGTGGTGATCATGCTTGTGGGCAACAAAACAGACATTGCCGACAGGCGCCAGGTGTCAATAGACGAAGGCGCGGACAAGGCCAAGGAGGACAACGTCATGTTCATCGAGACCAGCGCCAAGGCCGGGCACAACATCAAAGCGCTGTTCCGCAAGCTCGCGACGGTGTTGCCCGGCTTGGAAGACACGGCCGCCCCCGGCGAATCCAACCGTACGACCATTCCCATTTCTCGTGTTTCCCATGTTCATCTCTCAACTCGTGTGTAGTCGTGGACATCAAGCTCGTGGCCGCGCCGAGCCCCAAGGATACCGCGACCGCTGAATCCTGCGGCTGCTAATACTATGAATCCATACAACATCCTCTATATTCCTCTCGTCCCATTTAGTAACAACACTCGGCCACGACTGGATGCATGAGTCGTCGTCGGGGCATGTGATCTTCTTCGCGATTGCGTGTCCTTCTACTTTCGCCGGCCGCCGGCCACTTCTTTTTCGCGCTCGGCGACCTTTTTCGCCGAGATTTTGTCCCAGTCCACAGGGAATTGCTGCATGTATTGCAAAAACTTCTTGTCTGTTTCGTCGAGCTTGTTGGCCTACGTGATCACGAACGATTAGTAGTACTACTAGTAGTAGTACTGTTCATTCGTGTCTCTGGTGCTGCCACGTCATGAGTGTTGAACCAGTCGTACCGCCAAGAAGCGCTGGCGATATGCCAACACCGTGTCCACATGCGTACCGCCCGCGGTCGTGTACTTGATGGCCAGGTCCAACGCGCGGTCCCATCGAAACAGACGGATGTTCATCTTGATAGCTCGATACACCAACGGCGTCGGGTGCGCCTGCAGTAGAATCGCCTCGGCTTCGTCGACGGCGCCGCCAGCGTACAGCGCCAGCTCGGCCATCCGCCGCTCCTCGCTCACAAGGTTCTTGACGTACAGGACAAAGTGCAATTTGTCGACTGACTCGACGGCCGCGAGCGCGACTTCGGCCGTGTCAAGGTGCCGCTTGTGCAGCGCCATGCCCGCCAAGCACGTCCAGAGGCCCTTGGTCTTGACGAAGCGGCAGAGGCGCACGGCCTTGTCCCAGTCGTTGGCGCTTGTAAACTCGTACAAGACGGTCGGGTACGGAGACACGGCGCCCGCGAGGAGGGCACCGTCCGTCCGGCGCACGGTGAACCGCGGCCCCACAAACGACGTGATGCTCGCGAGCTTTTGAAAGTCCGCTCCGTCCTTGGACTCGATCACGTCTGGAAGGAGCGTCCGGTCCACGTACACCATATTGGGGTACGTCCAGCACAGCACCTACATACACACACATTTTGGTGTCAACTCAATCGGTCCAAGAGAAGGAAGGGGCAGATCAGTATGAATTATTGTGAATTTGCTTCAATAACAGTAAACTTGCAAAACTTCGAGTGGTTTGTCTAATATCCACATTGCATCACGATAGAGTTCTGATTGGTTGAACATACTTGTCTCTTTTTTAACAGCCAATCAAACCATCCACTCAAAATTAGATTAGCCAATAGCGTCAATTCGTGATTCGATTCGATTCAAGTGGTTTGTCTAATCCACGATAGAGTTCTGATTGGTTGAACATACTTGTTCTTTTATAACAGCCAATCAAACCATCCACTCAAAAGTAGATTAGCCAATAGCATCGATTCGTGATTCGATTCGGCGGCGACATATCCACAATACCAGTATATATGTTTGCCACATCACGTGTAGATAGATCCTTATCACAGTCACACATTGATAGTAGCTGGTGAGTAAATACAATGGCAGGAATACTAGTTCAGTCGTCCAGTACATAGTAGCAAATCCTCACACAAGATGGGGTTGATAGCTAGAGGTGTAAAATGGGTTGATTTTGGGTGTTGATCTGTTTACCTTGGCATCGGAGAGAGCCACGAGCATCTCGGACGAGTCGTTCCATGCGGCAGAGTCCACTTGGGCTTGCAGTTTGAACGACCCCTTGTGGGACAGCCGCGTGAGATGCAAGTCGCGGTTGTTGTCGATGAAGAGCAGCTTGCGGTCCGTGCTGGGGCCGTAGTGGGACAGGGCGAGCTCGACCACGTCCAGCGAGTGCGTGAACGTGATTGGCAGCGCCTTGCCCGTGTTGATGTCGAAGGATCGGATGGTCTTGCGGTCCGAGTGATCGAGGATGGACACGGTGTCGATGCTGAGGGAGACGGTGTGCCGATGCAGGAACTCGACGTGCATGCCGTTGAACTTGGGGTTGGAAATCGCTCGGCCTTCGTACGAGTACACCTACAAGCGCGTTTTGCGAGCATGGCCATGTCTCGTGAGATGGTAGTAGTAGTAGTACTAATAGTAGTACTAATAGTAGGTGTACAGTACTTGGATGCCGTGAAAGTTGTCGACTGTGAGAAAGTGGCATTCGCTTTGCAGGATAAAGTTGACGGCTGCGCGCAAGTCGAAAATGTGCGGCGTGTTCCAGTTTTGAAAGTTGTAGATAAAGCATTGCGTGGCCGTGCACACGATGAGAAAGCCATACCCGAGGGACATTTCAATCACCTACAACTGTAAAGTCAAGCCGGCGACACGAATCGCCCTTTCGTGACAAAAACAGGGACGCCAGCAGCCACCCATGACAAAAACAGGGACGTCCAACGTCACTCGTGACAAAAACAGGGACGTCCCACGGCAAAGTGGACAAAAACAGGGTCGGTTGTTCGTACCCGATCTCGGACAAAGTCGAGTTCTTCGACGGTTTCATTGAGCACGTCGTGGACGTGGATTTTCCGGGGGTCTTTCAGCGTCACCTAACACCGCCGCGGTGACGAACGTTCCAAGAACGTTCTGCTTACTTCAATCTTGTTCCACTGCAAATGGCGGTCCACGACTTGCGCAAACAAGGTCGACCCGTTGCCGCCGGCCGCCACGAGCTGCGTGCCATCCGACGCCCACGCAATGTCCATGAGCGACCCCGCTTTGGGTCGTTCGCGGCAGTATGACCACCCAGTTTTGTCACAGAGACGGAGCATGTTGAATGCGCCGACGGCAAACATGTCACCCTTGGGACTCCACGCGATGCTCGTGATCACGTGCTCACACACGGGACTCTGGTACAACTGCCGCCCAAATCCATCCCACACGCGGAACACGCGGTCTTCGCCGCCAGAAATCACGCGATTGTTGATCGGATTCCAGTCAATGCACAGGATGGGGCCGTCGTGCGCTTTCCACTGGATGTCCTTGCGGCCAACCTACAAGGCAGGCGCAAATACACAAGTTAATAGCTTCTGGACGCGCACACATCAAGGAGAAGGCAACGAATGCAATACAAGGGGGGGTGTACTTGAATGGTCTTGATAACGAGGTTCTTGCTGTTGGTAAAGAGAATTTGATCGTTGTCGGGCCCCCAGCATACAGCATACACGGCGGTTCCTGGGGGGAGACGAGGGGTACGATGAATATTGAGTCATGATGAAATGATAAACTCTTGCAGGAAGCATGACAGTATAGATGATACCAGTGTTGGCCAACGTCGATCGAAGGTTGCCACTACGCGAGTACACCTTGACAGATCCGTCTTCGCCCGCGGTCACAAGCGCCGTGCCGTCGTAGTTCCACTTGAGCGAAATGATCGCGCCGGCATCCGATGCTTGCACCTTTTTCTCTTCGCGGCCATTCTTCGACATGATGCGAAAGGTACCGTCCGTGCACGCGATCACAAACATGTCCGCGCTTTGCTTCCCCACGGACGGGACCCAGTCCACGCTAGTCACGAACGTATCCACGGACGTCACCTTCCCGACCACCTCGCCGTCCATGCGCCACCGCACGATCGTGTTGTCGTCACTGCATGTGATCACGTCGTTCTCGGGGGTCCAGCAGCATGCCGTCACGATCTCCGTGTGCTGGTTCACTGTCGCTTGGGCGTGCTGGAATCGCATGGTGTAGCTGCGTTGTGCCAACCGTCGCGGGAATCGAAACTGGGGTCGCGACGTTTGGCGTTTTTGTCCATTTTACTTATTTTGGATGAAAAAAGTACCAAAATTAGTGTTTCGAAGTAACATTTAATTGAGATTTGTCCTTTGGATTGTCGGTTTGACCGTGAACCATGATCCTGACAGCGGAGAAGTTGAAGATCACCATGGTCCAACAGTCCGCTCGACGACCGACAAGGCACATACTGCATGGAACGCGCGTACGATTTCCTTCTGCATAGATGTGTCCGCTCATGGCGACATAGTAGACTGCAAGTGTCGCGGCGATTTTCGCGTGCCCGTCGACCAAGGCCACGGATCCTCTTGAGCTGTTGTTCATTCGGCGGGCGATCAATCCTAGGGACCGATGGAGTGGCCACATTGCATTCCCAGGTGGACGCGTGGAGGCTGGCGAGTCGGCATTGGATGCAGCGCGGCGGGAAACCATGGAGGAAGTGGGGGTGGACCTCACTCACGCTGAAGTGTTGGGGCAGTTGGACGACCGGCTCGCGGCGCGCAATGGGCTGGTCGTGCACACTTTTGGCAATGCTTCCTTTCGATAGCTAGCTCATGGACATCTCACGCGATCATGTTGTAGTATTCCTCCTTGCGACAAAGCCATCGACGTGTGTGCTGCAACCTCTTGAAGTGAGCGACGTGTTGTGGGTGTCGTCCTTGGCACTTGCCGACGCGCCTCTACGTACCCTCTTCTACCCCATCGGTCCATACCTTCAGCGCGCCGTCCCGCGATGTCTGCATGTACATACATCACACGTTGGGTGTAATGTTGATGATTGTAAGCCTGTGTGTACAGCCCATCTTGGCGAACCTGCCATTAGGGTCAGTGACGTTTCCATGCCTGTACCTCCCGCACCCGTCCACCGATGTCGTTCGCATCGATCGTCAAGCCCATGAGTATGTGCTTTGGGGCGTCACGTACAGCATGTATCTCGACATTCGGGTCATCGTCAGCCGACGGCAGTATCCGCCCGATGCCAAGTCTGCCGCGCCGTCATACGTGGCCTTGTACTATCGATTGTTGGTTTCCGTGGTACTAGTAGTCGTGGCCTTGGCTTTCGTATCATGGTGGCGATATTGACCATACAACGCCAAACTTGGCATACAGTATCTAACGTTTGTACTGCCCACCAGTTACTAGTTAGTTGAACCTGGCTTGTAGTCTTCACAGTGTAGTCTAGCCTCATAACTTTGAGTTACATGGCCACCCTTGATTACATTTTTCTATACAAGGACAGTACTAAAGTGCACCAAGCGTGGTAATATACTAGTTTCACTGGACGCCGTAGTAGTTGCAACTAACGTTATCTACCTCACAACCAAGCACTCCCTCACATCACCAAATCTGGATCCTCTGGCAGACACACACAGTCCATTCATCCTAGCGTTATAGTATCCTCTATGCATCAACCTAGACGATGTCTCATGTTGTCCATCCACTCGACCTCACCTCGACAAGCACAAACACGACGACAAAACCCCGTCCTCATCACGTACATTTGACTCGTGTGATATTATGACGTCGTGCTAGTAGTACTAGTAGCTGCCGTCAATTCGTCGAGGGCATCGGGGTGAAAATGGCACACGTCTTGAAAGATGAGGCGCTGGAGGGCAGGTTTGTCGAGCGGGTCCAGCTGCTCAAATGAAAAGTCAAACGGCATCGGTGCCAGCACTTCGGCGTCGTCGTCCATGTAGGGCGCCACAAATGGATGCCGAAGCGCGTCGTCGATACTGATCCGTTGGCGGGGATCAAACTTGAGCAGGTTTTGCAGCAGATCGATCGCGTCGGGCGGGGCGGACGGCACGACCGATGTCCACGGGCGCGGCACCTGGGTCGCCTGCTTGGATAGCCACCGCTTGGCCTTTTCGTTGGTGACAAAGCCAAGGTCTGCCACCGACGGAGACCCGAGGACGGACGTGACGAGCTGCAGCTGGTGGACATGGTCGTGGCCAGGAAACAGCGCGGTACGGTTGAACATTTCTGCGACAATGCACCCGACGCTCCACGTGTCGACGGGGTACGAGTACTTGGAGCTCAAGAGGAGTTCTGGCGCGCGGTACCATCGTGTGACGACATATTCGGTGAGGGCGGCGTCGGGGGTCACGTCGAGCAGCTCGCCGTGCGTACTACTACTAGTACTACTAGTACTACTACTCGGCGTCGATGCGTTGACAGACGACGACGACGAAATCCCTCGGGCGAGGCCAAAATCGCACACTTTAACGAGGCAGTCGCGGTTCACGAGGACGTTGGACGGTTTGATATCTCGATGGAGGACGTTGGCCGAGTGCATGTACCGAACGGCCGCGAGCAGTTGGTACGTCATGTACGCAATGTGGTCGCATTCCAATGGTTCGGGGGACTGGACAACGCGATGGAGGTCCGTTTCCATCAAATCTGTGACGATGTACGTATCTTCAAACTTGGCGAGCGACGGCGGCCGCATCACGTCGAGCACGTGCACGATATTCGGGTGGGTCAAGTGCCGCATGAGCCGAATCTCGCGCACGATGCGCTTGGCATCGACGAGGTCGTCGAACGTTTTGGGGATGTTCTTGATGGCCACGGCGTTGCCCGTCACTTGGTCACTGGCGGCGATCACGACGCCGTACGCGCCGTGGCCAATGGCCCGGATGAGTTGGTACCGCGAGTAGATTCGAAACTTGGTGCCTGACACGGTGAAGTTGTGCATGGCGTGCAGGTCCATCTCGTCCGACGACGAAAGGCGGCGAGGGTCCATCAAGTTGCTGCTGGACGAACGCGCTTTCAACGATGACGATGACGTGGCGACAAGATGCAGCTGCGCGAGGCGGTCCAGACTCTTGCGGGGGCCGCGACTCGGCGAGGCCACCACATCTGCGACACTGTCTTCTCGTGAGAAAAACGCCAAGCTCAGCTGGAGACGGCCGACTGTGGTGGCGGTCTTGGGATTTTCCGCCTTGGAGTACACTTCGGGCTTGACGAGGTCATACCACTGGGGAATCTGTCCCAGAGCGAGCTCTTCGTCGGACGTGGCGTCATGTGACAACGCTAGCACCGACGCCAAGTTGATGCGCGTGACCCCCACCAGTTCGTCGCCCAAGAACCCATCCACCCACACTTCGACAAACAAATGTGACACCGTGCCGGGCACCGCGCCTGAAAAGTTCAAGTCCACCGTTTCGGCCCAGTAGACGGCATACGCTGTTGCATGACCCTGTCTATCCTTGAGTGGCACGATTGTAGCAGGAAGACGGGTGCTGTAAACCGTAGGTTGGAACGCCAGCGGCTGCTGCTGCTGCTGCTTGTCGGCGCCGCCTTTGACCATCAAGTGCGGAAACCCAGTGAGCGCAAACTTGACGGTGGGGGCGGCAGTCTTCTTCGCCTTGAGCCCCTCGGCGGACACACATACGACCCGGAGCTCCCCCGGTGGAGACGAGACGCTCGTGGGGACCGCCGCCGCCGACTTGTCCTTGATGGCCAGCAGCGCCGGACCGGTGGCGCCGCTCGAAAAGGCCACCGAGGATGCCACCGAGTCGCCCATGATGTTGATGTGGCTCACACGACCGTCGACTTCAAACCGGAGCTCATGGCGCCACACCTGGCGGAACCGCCGCTTGTTGGCTTTGTTCACGAGCGTTTCTTTGCCCGACACGACGGCGAGGTCGCCTTCCCGGGCCATGGACGTGACCCGGAAGTGGCTCATGTCCACTGCGTCGTGCAGCGTCGTCATGTACTTGAGAAACCCCGTGTGCCACCCGAGGCCATGGAACGTTCCCGACATGGGGACGCATGGCGGGTAGTTGGACGTGACGACGACGTTCGGGTGGAGGCAGGGGAGGAGCATCGCAAAGTTGCCCACTTGACGACACACGTCCCCGTAGGCATCGTACAGCGCAGCCAGGTCCACGGCATACGGTGGCAGTGGTGAGTCGTTTAGAGCTGGCGATGGGCTCTCGGTGGTGGGTTTGTGACAGTTGCGACGAACCACATCTTGGTCCACAGCCGCCTTGATCATTTGCTTCCACAAGACCAACTCGAGACTCGAATCGACTTGGAAATGCATCACGCGCTGCTTCTCCACCATCGTGAGGCTGAACTTGAACACCTTGGCTTGTTCCGTGTCCTGGTGGAAGCTCTGGATCGTGTACACCCCACGCGGCTTGGCGATGCTGCCGCTACCTCGTACCTTGTTGGGCAATGAAGATGGGTGAGACGAAGTCGTGTGGTTCGCGACGAGAAGCGAAGGCGCGTGCGGTTTGGCCGGCGGGCCGTCGAGCCGGTCGTAGTAGCTCACGCGGAGTCCGTCCAGAACAACCAGGTAGTAGTCCCATCGCGGCAGCCAGTCCCCTCGTTTCCTCAAGTAACCTTCCCATTGAATGGGCAATTGCTCTAGCCGTCGATCGGTAGCCGACGAACTAGCCGCCGCTTCCGTTGCGGGGATTGTCGCCGCCGACTCCATCTTGTCAATGGGAAATGACCAATGACGGCGTTCTTCAGTTCAATAATGGACCAATCATATTGCAAGATTGGATTGACTTGATGTTAGTATTGGCCAACGTTCAAAACAATGTGGTGAAACATTGCTGTGAGGTATGGTGAGAGATTTGATTGTAATATCCGGAATCGTATTATCCGGACGACGCGATGTTCAAGCAACCATTGAATTCCTTATTGCGCCATGCTGTCTCGCGCCGCTGGCACCGTCCTCGTCCGTGTAGCGTCAACGACGCGCACGTTTCACAGCACTCCCATGCTGAGTGCGCGAAAGAGCAAGTCGTTATCCCGTCTCACAATCAAGCGCTCTGTGCTGGTACGTCAAACACCACAGCTTGACGTCACATTACGATCGAACATGTTCATGACGAACCTCATCGTCGCAACCTTCTTGCAGGACACGCAAAACACCATGAAGAACTTTGACATGTCTTCATTTCAAGACGATGAAGACGACAACAAGGACGCTCCTCCGTCCGTGCAAATCACCAACATGAAGGCCGCGCTGAAGCAGTTGAACGACCCAGATTCGTTCGATCTCGACAAGATCCCGTTGATGAAGCGCGGCGCGACCGCCAACGAGGACATGATGACGGAAGAGGAGGTACTGTCCGTCCTAGACGTGTCCATCTAGAATGCTTCCATGTGGTAGTTTGAAGCGTTCCTCGACGAAGACGAGGACGACGAGGACGAAGAGCATGATCGCGAACTCGAAGCGCTCGAGCGCGAAGACGACAAGAAGCGCGTGACCAAGATGCTGTCCCCCGCGCGCGCCATGCAAGCGCTCCAGGGCGGCGACAAGAAGCGCGTGACCACCAAGAATGCCAAGCCCCTGCAACGCGACGAAAAGGCGGACAATCGATTCAACCCCGAGCTCGTCAACCATCGCCAGCAGCGCGTGGGGCTGCTCCTGGAAGGGTTCATCCAAGACGTCATCTTGCGCGAAACCGACCTCTGCAAAGGCTCGACCCAAGTGTGGATAACCAGCGTACGGAACCCCCCATATGTTTCTCCATCTTGAGTCCTTCACATGATGATGCATCAGGTCAACATGTCGCCCGACCTGCGGCGCGCCGACCTGTATTGGGACGTCACGACCGTCTCCCATGGCAAAGTGAGCAAGACGGTCGAAGCCAAGGTCGTTCGTCGACTCACAAACATGACCAAATGGCTGCGGGTTCGCGTGACCCAAGAGCTCGGGCTCAAGGTACGAACGAACGACGCGTTGTGGTTGGTTCAGTGACTTGAGATATGATTATTGTCCTTCTTTTACCCAACATGTGGCTGCCTTTTGTGCTGAATTATCGCCAATTTGATCGATCGAGTTTTTGTACTGACTTTTTATATTGTGCTTTCGAGTGAATTTTCGTGTTGTGGCGTTGTTTCTCGTTTGAATAAAATTAAATCGATTTGATTGGCTACCTCAGATGAGCTCAAAATTATTAGCCAATCAAAACCTTCTTAATGAAATTCAACCAATCAGATCGATTTCGGATTGGTTTGGTCGGCGCGATTCGATTGCACCCCGTCCCCAAATTTGTATCAAATCGACAATATGTCAAAACGAGTGTTTTGTAGTATCACACTAATTAAAAGTTTCACACTAATTTGACTTTGTTGATCGTGGTTTCCTGCAATCTGATTGGCTCAATTCTTCTGCCGATTATACTTGTGTCCATGTATTTATTTGGTTGTGTCGATTATTATTTCTTCTCCATGTCGCACAACAGTTTAGAATATAAGCACAACAACGGTACGATTTAACGTTTCTGATGGTATGATTTAACGTGTCTGATGGTATGATTTAACGTTTCTGATGGTATGATTTAACATTTCTGATGGTATGATTTAATTTGGTGATGGTATGATTTAACTTTGGTGATGGTATGATTTAACGTTTCTGATGGTATGATTTAACTTTGGTGATGGTATAATTTAACGTTTCTGATGGTATGATTTCTATAGTATACGCCCAAATTGGAGTTTAAACGACAAGACAACACGGGGTTGGAACGGCAAAAACTGTTTGATGCACTCATGGCGCAGCAAGGGTATTGATACATACACTGTAACACTATTATCCAATATGTCTTCTTACACTATTATCCAATATATCTTATTCGTGCACGTCACCCCCACTTTGGTCGTCGTCTCCATCAAACAACTGCTCCATCACAACGAGGCGCCGGACGAGCGGGCCGACGTTGAAGCCGACGACGGCATGCCGCTCCAGCCGAGTCAATTCAACGCGGCAATGTGTCAACATGGACACGATGTCGTCCAATCGGCCCATGTCCAACCACGTGGCTCGAGTCAGGTCCCAGTGGGTGCACACGTATCGAAACATGTCGACGATGTACGCCAGCGCATTTGTTTCTACGAGGCAATTTGGCATAGAAGAGACCGCAGAGTTAGAACCAAGCCTAGACATACAGACTGGGGACGTTGTTTGTACCGTTGGACGTGACGAGATCGATGAGAACGAGATGGTCGTGGTCGAGAAGGCCGCAAAAGTCGGCAAACCACTGCGCGGGACTGTGCTCCGTCCACAATGACGCCAGCAACGACGATGTGTTTCGGGTATGAGTTGTCGTGGAGTCTCGAGCGATGGAGGGAGACGGGATTGGCAGGCGGAGCGCATGGTACAGCACGTCTACGAGGACGTCATCCTCTTCGGCGAGGATGGCCATGGCATGGCGGCGAAACGTCGAGGGGTCACATGATGGAAGTGGCCACGCATGTCGATGGAGCGACGGGAGATGAAGCATGGCGTGGAAGAGGAGCCGGAGCCATTGATGGGCAAAGGGAAGGGAAAGGTCCTGCCCCGTGAAACTGGACGCGCCGACGCAGTGGCCGACAATGGGTGGCGGCGCCGTGGACAGCAACGCAGGATACGATGCCACAAGAACAGACAGGATCATGGCGGCGTAGGCTCGGTTGTTATGCGCGGAAGGCTCGTCTGTGATTGTGACGAGCAGCGATAGGATTTCCACGTGGGTCGCCGTCGAAGGGGAGGACGAGTTCATTATGGGTACCCACGGAAGAGCCCATGACAAGGTCACAACGTGTTTGTGGTCGGAGTAAGACTGCGCATGATGAAGGAAGGCATGTGCAAGTCGCACCAGTTCGTACACACAGCAGTCTTGGTACGACGCTGCATCGCGGCAGACCGACTTGCATAGGTGCAAGAATGGGAGTTGCAACTCGAGGAGCGTATCGAATGTCCATGTCGACACATTCGACGTCTCTTCGTCATCGTCGTCAGACGAGGAAGATGATGCATAATCTGGAGCTGTATGCGTGTCCTCAATCCATCGCCGCACCAGCTGGAAGTTGAACCCGAGAGAGTCGTGGTGTGGAACCTGCATCGCAATACTCCTGGATGAATGAGGTCATCCCACGATATGGAAGTAAGTCGTCATTCAACGCACCGTATCCAAATAGCGCAGTCCGACTGAACGGTGAACCTCACTGTACCTAGCAATGTCTTCATCGCTTGAAAGGCCGTAAAGACGTCCGGGGACGACAGCGCCGCCGCGGACTTGTGCATGATTGCATCGTCGTCATCCATGGACGAATACGATTTGAATGCAATACTTTATAAATACATATCCTATATAATATACTATCCGTTTTGAAGATGCCTTGTATAATTTATTAACCTTGACATTGACAGAACGATGGTGTCGTGGGCGGAAATCGGTATCGTGATCGTGGCAGGCGGATACCTCATCGGTCGAAAGGAGCTACCTCGCATGGCCAAGATGGGTGGAAGGTATGTCGGTCGGACCGTCGGAGCGGTCCTGCGTGCGAAGAACGAGTACTTTGAAGCAACCAAGAACAGCGATTTGGTCAAGGTATGAACGATGTCGTTGTATATATCCGACGTTGCATGCCATCCTCAGAAGTGTACCGTAGATGCAATCCGAGCTGCAGAAGGGATTGGACGAACTGAATCAAATCCGATCGGAAATGACGACCATCAGCAGCATGAAACGACCCTATCGACCCGTGTCGACCCCGGCGAATCGCCCGCCAGCGACTGCCTCGCCCTTGGTGGCAGCCTCGGACGCTGCCGCCGCACTCTCCAGCACATACACCCCTCCTGCATCATCCCCTTCCTCCATCTCAAGCCCATCGTCCATCCAAGCGGCCACGATTTCCCAGGACTACCTCGCCCACCAGTCGTTCGAGGACTTGATCCAATCGGCAGAAGACCAAGAGCAAGCGCGGCTGGCCATGGCGGAGATCAACATGGCCCACGAACAAAAGTTTGCCTCTCGCATCGGTACAGTGATCTGTCCGCGTGGTCTTCACTGTGATCGTTTTGTGTGTGTAGAAAGTGTCGAAGGTGGCGCCGATTACGTGGCATCCAGCCTGATGGACAGCATTTTGCTGCAACGACGAGTCTAACATACAGTAACTACACGAAACTTCAATGTACCGTTCACTTATTACACAAAGAAAGAAACTAAAGCCCTGGTACAGTTTGGACTTCTTCCTTCAATTGCACCGTTCACTATACCACTACACGTAAAGTAAGTTCTTATGTACCGTTCACTTTACGTATAGTAGTAATCCAGTATCTATCTCGCCGACGTCACTTTACGCAACGAAAGTAGAGGGTGCAGTTTGAGCTTCAACCTTCAATTCTCCGTTCACTATACCACTGTACGTAACGTAAGTGTTTATGTACCGTTCACTTTACGTATAGTGTACGTCCAGTCAGTATATCTTATCGCGCCGATGTCAACACACGCAAGGGGATGTGTCGGGAAAAGTCTGCACGTTGCTCCAACAGATGCGCCACATGCAGCAGCGTGTGTTCTTGGTGGGGGGCGCCAATGAGTTGCAGTCCCAGGGGCATTTGGTCCAGCACAGCCGCGGGCACCGACACGGACGGGAGCCCCGCGAGACTGGCGGGAATGGTCATGATGTCGTTCATAAACATGTCCACGGGGTTGGCCTTGCCGTGCACAGCAAACGGCCCGGACGGCGTTGTGGGGGTCAACAACACATCAATCTACAAATAGCAGCATTTTCATTGGTAAAACAAAAACGACGTTAACGTACCCCCGACTCGAACGTCGAGGCAAAGTCGTCGCGAATGGTCTGGCGCACGAGCACAGCGCGTTCGTAGTAGTCTGCCAACGCACCCGCCGACAAGACAAACGTCCCCGACAAGATGCGGCGCTACATTCAAAAATCAGCACACGATGGCATTCGCTCAATGAATATTTAGGTAGGTAGGTAGGTGGTGTGTGTACACAAGAACCATGTAATGAACATGTGTGACATGGGGAAAGCAGAGGTAGAGGTGGGCCACATATGTACGTACCTGCACTTCGTCGCCAAATCCTTCGGATCGCGTGCGGCAGTACAAGTCATGTAATGCGTTCGCTTGGTTGTTGGAGGCGTCGGCGACCGCGGCGGCAGCAGCCTCGTTGTTCAATTCAGCGCTACAAAATATAAAATACACTTGGTTCAAAAATGGCAGTACAGTATATATATTGATATTTTTTTCATTTCTAAAATTCGAATCGCACCGAAAGCCGTAGCGGACGCCGTCATAGCGTGACAAGTTGGACGAGGCTTCGGCACAAGCTAGGATGTAGTACGTCGGCAGTGCATACTTTGTAGTCGGGAGCGAGGCTTCCACCACCCGCACGCCTATTATTATATATATATGATTTGATTCAATCAAATACTATTACTAGTAGTAGATCCTAGTTCGTACCAGATTGCAGTAGCCACTCGATGCCTTGGTCCCATACTTTTAGAATCGACTCGGGCAGTTCTTTGACATAGTACTCCTTGGGCACACCCACCGTCAACTGTTTTGTGTTGGTTGCATCGGTTTCTGATGCTGGCTCCTGTAAAACACGCAATAATACCCAATGTATCATATTGGTACACATTCAGCTTTAGCCTATGATGTTTCCATACAGTGGCTAGTAATCATGTACTAGTTGTACTGGTCTTACCCATTGAGATGGCAACTTGTCAGGAAGGGCCGTCGAGTCGTGGCCATCTGGTCCGGCAATGGCATGCAATACAATAGCTGCGTCGCTGCAACCACGTCGCTTGTGGTGAGCGTGCCACGTCATATATTTCAACATACCGAATGGTTTTGGCCAGGATGCCGGGGGTGTCCAACGAGCTGGCAAACGCAATCATGCCATGCCGAGAAATGCGGCCGTAGTTGGGTTTGAGGCCCGTGACTCCGCAATACGCCGCCGGCTGCCACATGTACACGTTATTCGAAAGAACATTCGCAGAACGTTCCGTACTTGTCGAACGGAGCCGCCCGTGTCCGACCCGAGCGCGGCAAAGCAACATCCGGACGCGACCGCGGCGGCGCTGGCCCCGGAACTGCCGCCGGCGACCAACGCCCGGTCCCCCAAGTCACTCGACCACGGGTTGATCGTTGGGCCGAACGTGCTGTACGTCGTGCCGGACCCCATCGCAAACTCGTCCATGTTGAGCTTGCCCAATGGAATGGCCCCGGCGTCGAGGAGGCGCTGGGTGGCGGTTGACTCGTAGGGTGCCACGAAGCCTGCGTCGTCCCGTCGTCGTGATGGACGGATCAAACATCGATCAAGACGGACATACCTTGCAGGATCTTGGAGCTCGCGGTCGTGGGCACGCCATTCTGCATGCAAAAGATGTCCTTGACGCCGACAGGAATGCCGTCCAGCGGTCCACACGCGCGCCCATCTCGTCGCCGTGCGTCCGATTCCGAGGCCCGTGCCAGTGCCGAATCGAACGTCGTCGCGACAAACATGTTGAAGCGCTTTGTGGCTTCGATCTGGTCGATGCACGCTTGCGTGAGAGCCACAGACGTGACCGACCCATTCGCAAGGGCTGCCGATGCGTCCGTCAGCGATCGGCCTGCCCAACTGCTCACGGATCGCAACGAGGGGCGATGTCTGATGCACAGACAACATACATGTATCTTACAACATGGATACGATGATGGTAAAGTACCGCAGTGTCGGGCGAAAGTGCAGCAGCATTACGATGGCGAGGTTGATGGTCACAAGTTGCAGCAAGTTCAATCAGGATGCACGTCACTAATCTAGGCTTATTTCGGCACTAGTAGGCTAGGATTACTACAGTAGTACTAGTAATACCGTATTCGTGACATCGCTGTAGGCATACAAACTATAGTATCCAAATGGTTTCCGTATCCGGATAAGCTGCTTTCACTATCCAAAACGACATCAAGCATACGGTATACTCTAGCCCAATTTCAAACTCGACGACGACATGGCGTACACACCACGAGACACGACCCATTGGACCACGGACTCGTTCTTGGCGTATTTGACGTCGACGACGCCGGTGTTTGTCGCGGACGTGTTGGCACAGCTCCATGCACTTCCTGTCAAGTTCGATGATGCGTGGCAGATCGATCATGTCTGCTATCGGTGTGACTCGGACGACGAATACACGCACTTGACCAAGACCGTTCTGCCTCAATTGGGACACGAACTTGTGGAATCGATGGTGGGAGGTCGACAGATCGCAACGTTCAAACTGTCGATGCCAATTGGTTTGTCCCATCGACCGAACGCATCGGTGGATGTGCTCGAAGTGCCGTCGCCGAAGCGTGGAAGCCCATACGACAGCGGCCTCGAGCACTTTGAAGTGGTCGTGCCGTACAACTTGGACACGTTCTTAGCGGACAATTCGGCCACCCATACCGCTTGGGACTTGAAAGGCATGACAAAACCGATCAACCGCGATGTTCGCGTACCACTTGGCCCGTACAGCGTCAAATTCCACGAACAAACCCTCGAACGCGTGATCCAGTTAGAGTCGGCGGACGGCATTGCCCAAAGCTAGCGAAGTGATACATGTTGAGGATAACGTTGGCCTCACAAGGCGAGTAGTGTTGAGCTTGGCAACAAGGACATATCAAGCCAACGAATGAGGGAACATCCCGAGACGTCGCACCGTAGGAGTTTGCAGCTTTTTACTTGATCACACCACAATTTGTGTGTGCAAACACGTTTACGATCCAGCAATCCCACTGTGATATTAATACAGTAGTCCCCCGCAATAGGGAACCCACAATAAATCAATATCCTCGCAAAATAAATTCTTTCACAAGATGGTGCAAAATAAATTTAAAGAGGCTGATTGAAATTTCAAACAACACATGTTGCGAAAATGCACTTGGTTGTCAAAATGCCGTCACCCTCGAGACGGATGAGACTCACTGTCGAGCAAAAGCGCTCACTATTGACGCACCACAAGTCCAATCCTGGCATAAGAGGACTTGAATTGCGAGTTTGGGCTCAGCATGCGTTCTGGCTACCACGTGTGCCCCAAAAGTCGACTATGTCTCGTTGGCTCAACACCCAGAGCGACCGCGTGGACGTGCATCCCTCACATAAATCAGCACACAAACCTCGCCTACCGGACCTCGAAAGTCGACTTATGAGTTGGATCCAAAAGTGCGAGGAGTGGAAGGTCCCCATCGTCAGTGGTCCGACGATCCGTGCAAAGGCAATGGCCATCCAAGACGCCCTCCGTGGTTCATCGCAGTCTGCAGATCTTCTCGACTCCATAACCTTTTCTAATGGCTGGCTCCAACGATTCCAACTGCGACACAACTTGAAGTCCCGTCGCGTGTATGGCGAAGCCGCATCAGCAAGCCAAGAGGACGTTGACGAGGGACGTCGCATCCTTCGTCACGTCACACAAGCCTACGCGAAGCAAGACATCTTCAATCTCGACGAAACTGCGTACTTCTATTGCTCTGCGCAGACCAAGACGATCTGCACAGCTCGCATGCCGGGGCGCAAGATGATCAAGAAGCGCATCACAGTGGCCGTGACAAGCAACTCCGATGGAAGCCGCAGGTGGCCACTGCTGTTCGTCGGTTCCGCCAAGCACCCACGATGCTTCAAGACGAGGTCAGCGCGAGACCTTGACCTGGACTATGCTGCAACAAAGAAGGCTTGGATGACCGGCGACGTGTTTTCAAACTGGATCGAGGAGTTCAACAAGACAATGCAACGCGAGGGCCGGCACGTCCTTCTGCTTCTGGACAACGCCTCCCCTCATCGGTACGAGCCGTTTCTGTCCAATGTTGTTGTGTGCATGCTGCCTGCCAACACCACGGCATTCTTGCAGCCCCAAGATGCCGGAGTGATTCAGGCGTTCAAGAACAAGATTGGTGCCCTGCGGGCGTTGCACATTGTGGAAAAGTTCGACAAGCTGGTCGCAACGGCGGACGAGTCAGACAAGGAAAACTTTGCATCACTGGTCAACAAGTTGCACGAAGTTTCGCTGCTGCAGGCCATGGAATGGGCCAAGGAGGCTTGGCATAGTGTTACACAAGACACCATTGCTAACTGCTGGCGCCATACGGGTATACTGGACGAAGAGATGTATGAGTTGATCGAGAGTATGAACAACCTTTGAGGAATATAATGTGCGCATTGTTGTTGGTGTGCTTTTGTCTTCTGGAGGTTGCCAGTGTATCAACCCCCTCCTGAATTCGAATATGATGTCCATTTTTGAATCCGAGCACTTTCCAATACCATATGTTAACTTTTGTCCAATCAGAATCGAGTTACCCATCAAACATGCCTTTTTAACTTTATACTTGTGTAAATTGAAAACCCCTAAAATCATATCGCCAACAAAGGTTCCCTATTGCGGGGGACTACTGTACTAGGATCACGCAATCGTTGAAGGAAACGATCCACATTCCGATTACACAGCACCAAAATACTACTGGAGTGCTGGTCGTCATTCCGATAGAAATGAGCTTACTTGGAAGTTCAACAAGTGGCGGCCACTTCCAATTCAACCCATCGATGAACCTGTCGTGTTCAATATAGTACGCGGCGCAGTTCTGACGACAGGGAAGATAGTGTAAGTGCAAACTCGAATACATATCGTGAACTATGTAGTGGCCACACCACGTCTAACACGATTCGTAGCATCATCACCTTCAGTTCCCCCCGCCCGCAGGTTCTTGGTCGAGGGATGCCATTGGTCAGTTGATTCGCGATTACCCAGCCCTTGACGGGGGTAATCGAACCCAGCTGGCCCTGTTTTGAAAATCCCTAAATAGAAATATCTTTGGAAATGTATGGAATCACGAGTGGAAACTAAAATAGTTCTAAATACCTTGCGATTGCGCGATAACTCATAGTAGAATCAAGTTTATTTAGAGAACGTATGTTGTTCATTTAGGGATCGCCATGGAATGTAACGGTTTTGACCGAAACCACGTGAGCCAATCAGAGGCGATGAAATGGCGCGGACAGTCCGAGGTGTTGTGCGAGTTGAGCATTTGGCGCTCATTCGAAATCTTTCCGCGCAACCCACACATCAAGAGAGAGGATGGCGAAGCAGGGAGACGAAGACTATAAGGCCGTTGCGACCCCCAAGGATGAGGTCGTGGACATCCAAGACAAACCCGTCGCCGTAGGTAGCACCACGGCCCTGACGAACGCGAACGCAGACATCGAACACGATTTTCCGTTCAGTGCCATGTATCGCTACGCGGACGGAAAGGACAAGTTGCTCATGGGAGTGGGACTCATCATGTCGTGTGCAAATGGCGCTGCCTTTCCGTTGATGGCGATCATGTTTGGGGATTCCATCAACGGATTCACTCCGCCGATCAACTTCAAAGTGATCAACAAAGCCGCGATGGAATTCCTCCTCTTGGCCCTCGGTCTGCTCATCTCGGGGTACGCATCCTACACGTGCTTTGCGATCTCTGCCGAGCGTCAAATGAAGAGACTGCGCAGCGAATGCCTGAAGCACATCATGTACCAAGAAATGAGCTGGTATGACCAACGCGACGCCAGCGAACTCGCCTCGCGTATTTCTGGCGACACCATCAAGATCAAGGAAGGCATGGGTGAAAAGCTGGGCGAAGCCCTTCGTTTCATCTGTCAGTTCTTTGTGGGGTACATCATTGGTTTTTCCCGCGGGTGGAACCTGTCCCTGGTGATGTCGTGCGTGATGCCCCTCATGGCAGTTTCGTTGACGTTTTTGATCAAGCGTCTTCGAGACAGTACTGCCCGCAGTCAAAAGGTGTATGCCGCCGCGGGTGCTGTTGCTGAAGAAAACATTGGTGCCATCCGCACGGTCGCCTCGTTGAACGGCGAACAGCGTGCCATTGAGAAGTACGGCGTGAACGTGCAAAACGCTGAGGACGAAACGGTCGGTGTCGCCAAGTTTGTCGCGTTCGCCTTGGGGTGGTTTTTCATGTTCATGTGGTTGACGTATGCGATTGGTCTGTGGTACGGTGGGTGGCTCGTGTCCAAGCAATCTGGCCCCATCACCGACCCTGGCTCGGTTTTCAGCGCTTTTTACGGCATTTTGCTGGGTACGATGTCGCTGGCCCAGATCTCCCCCAACATCAGCGCTGTGGCTTCGGCCAAGGGTGCCGCCACTGCATTGTACAAGATTCTGGCGAGACCATCCCAAATCGATGCGTCCATCTTGGACGGCGAAGTCCCTACCGACTGCGACGGTGACATTGAAGCCCGCGACCTGCACTTCACCTACCCGAGTCGCCCCGACGACCCCGTGCTCAAGGGGTACTCATTGTCCATCAAGAAGGGTGAAACGGTGGCATTTGTTGGTGCCAGTGGCAGCGGGAAGAGTACGTTGGTCGGGTTGTTGGAGCGCTTCTACGAGCCCACGAGCGGGGCGTTGTACTTGGATGGCCGTGATATTTCGACGCTGCAAATCAAGTGGCTTCGATCCCAAATCGGGTTGGTGTCGCAAGAGCCAGTGTTGTTTGCCACGACCATTCTCGAAAACATTGCCGCGGGTGGGGCCAACATTTCTCGTGAAGAAGTGGTTGCTGCTGCCAAATTGGCCAACGCCCACGACTTTATCTCCAAGTTGCCCCAAGGGTACGACACCATGTGTGGGGAAAAGGGCGCTACCTTGTCGGGGGGGCAGAAGCAGCGGGTTGCGATTGCCCGAGCGTTGGTGCGCCAGCCCAAGATTTTGATTTTGGACGAAGCGACCAGTGCATTGGACAATGAAAGCGAGCGTGTCGTGCAAGCCGCGTTGAACAACTTGATGGAGCAAACCAAAATGACGACGATCGTGATTGCGCATCGATTGAGCACCATCCGCACGGCGGACAAGATTGCTGTCATCTCCAAGGGCGTGGTGGCTGAAATTGGTCGCCACGACGAGCTCATGCAGTTGGACAACGGATTTTACCGCACGTTGGTGGAACTCCAGACCAACCGACCTGAAGACGACGAGGTCATTGACGTCCAAGAAGCGCGGGTGTCGCTGGTGCTGGACCAAGGCGGGGAGCAGGCGGAATTGGTGCGCAAGTACAGCAACCTGTCTCAGATCAGTGTGGACCACGTGTCCGACTACGAAGGCCTCAAGGAAGTGGACGTGCCGTTGTCTCGCATCTTTGACCTGACCAAGCCCCAGCGTCTGCACTTGGTGTTTGGCGTCCTTGCGTGCTCGATCCAAGGCTTTGCTATGCCTGGTGTGTCGCTCATCATCACTCAAGTCATCACGGACATGGCCAAGTACTACGGTTTGTACATTGAATCGGGCAAGAAGAACACGCAGGCACTGACCAACCTGTACGATGCCGTGGCCGCCCAAGCTCAGATCTTCATCATTGTGGCCGTGGTTATCTTTTGCGTCGCGTTCATCCAAACGTACTCGTTCCGTGTGATTGCCGAGAAGTTGACCACTCGTCTGCGTAACCTCCACTTTCAAGCGTTGATGCGCCAAGACATTGGCTTCTTTGACTTGGACGGGCACACCACCGGCGCTCTGACCACGGATTTGTCCACCCACGCGACCAAGGTCGTTGTAATTGCTGGCGAAAACCAAGCGCGTATCATCCAGTCGTTGTTTACCATCCTGTCGGCGTTCTTCATCGCGTTCTTCTGGGGCAGTTGGCAGTTGACGTTGGTCATGGCGGCCGTGTTCCCGCTCTTGCTTGTGGGCAGCTGGGCCCGTGCCGCCCAGTTCAAGGGGAAGAAGTTGTCGGACAACTTGGCCGATTCTGGCTCGCTGGCGACTGAAGCCATCACGAATGCCCGCACTGTGACCGCGTTTGGCTTGCAACAAGACATCATCTCGCGTTACGACGTCCTGTTGGAAAAACCACTCAAGGAAGGCGCCAAGGAAGCGCACGTGAACGGAATCATGAACGGGTTCTCGACGGCGTCCATGTTTGCAGTGTACGCGCTCGTGTTTTGGTACGGCGCCAAGTTGGTCGAATCCAAGAGCATCGACTTTGGCGAACTTATGCGCACGCTCATGGCCATCATGATGGCATCTCAAGGTGTGGGTCAAACGGCGGGGTTCATGGGGGACACTGACGCTGCGAAGAAGTCTGCGTCCAAGATTTTCTCCATCGTCGATCGCAAGTCGGCCGTGGATTCGTCGTCGACGGACGGCGCGGTTCCGACTAACGTGACTGGTCGCATCGAGTTCAAGGACGTGTCGTTCAACTACCCTTCTCGGCCGGATGTCAAGGTGCTCAAGCATTACGATTTGACCATCGAGGCTGGCCAGACGGTGGCGTTCTGCGGCCCCAGTGGCGGCGGCAAGAGTACGTGCGTGGCGCTGCTCGAACGTTTCTACAACCCCATCGCCGGCACCATCGAGATTGACGGTCAGGACATTTCGACGTTGAACTTGAAGTGGCTTCGCTCGCAAATGGGTCTTGTCGGCCAAGAGCCCGTGTTGTTTGTCGGCACGATTGCCGAGAACATTGCCAGTGGTCTGTCCGACTACGCCGACCTTCCCGACTTGCAAGAACGCGTGGAAGCCGCGGCCAAGATGGCCAACGCACACAACTTTATCACGCAGTTCCCCGACGGGTACAACACTCAAGTGGGCTTGAAGGGCGAGCAATTGTCGGGCGGCCAGAAGCAACGCATTGCCATTGCCCGCGCGATCATGAAGAACCCGAGCATCTTGTTGCTGGACGAAGCCACGAGTGCGCTCGATTCCGAGTCGGAGCGCGTCGTCCAAGAAGCGCTCGATAACTTGTTGGCTGAGAAGGGACGCACCACGATTGTGATTGCCCACCGGTTGTCGACGATCCGCAACGCCGACAAGATTTGCGTCGTGAGCGGCGGCCGCGTCGCCGAGCAGGGCACCCACGACGAACTCATGAAGCTCAACGGGATTTACACGCACTTGGTCCAAACCACCACCAAAAACTAATAACGTTATAGACCATAATCTATTTGAACACATGTATTTGATATAAAGTGACGTGGACGTTTGCATGTGTACATATATACTTGATCACCCTAGCACAACAAAACTGATGTGTATATAGAGATATATAGCTACTATTAATACTACATATATTCTGTCTCATATTCCACTTATGCTATTGCTAAACGGTCAGGTAGTTGGTTGTTGATGATGGTAATTAGTTAATGGCGGCCTTGTCGATTGCCAATATGTCCGCCATGGACACAACCGTCAAGCCAGTACTAGGACTGGACTCGTAGTTGGCTAGCATGGCTTTGGCGACGGCGGTCGCAGACACCTACACAGATGAACAGATAGACTCGAATCGTGTATGCGACATCGTTTGTCTATCGTGAGTGCAATTTGCACTGTGCAAACTCGAGAGACTATGTTCGTACCGAAGGCAACACGTACGACGCCACTCGTTCCACCGTGCGGGCCAGGTTCCCCCGACGAAGCAAACCGGGTTGAAAGAATCCTGTACGAATAAATCCCAACTTTGCCACCGCTTCTTGGGCCAGTCCCTTCGTGCGTGGATACAAGAACCAGCTGCTCTTGTTGGAGTTCTGTATGAACGCATTATACTTGATGAGTCACATGAGACTGGGGGTATGGACGTACCGAGGCTGTGAGCAAGCCAAAATAGGGAATGCCGGCTTCCTTGCTGAGTTCGGCCGCCTTGGTCACGTAATGCAAGTCCACTGCTCGTTCACACCTTGTCAATATATATATTGCATCGTAGCGTTCAGGTAGTACCTTTGATAAACGCATCAGCGGACCCTGCGTCCGCTCGAGTTGTACCCAAGCAACAAAAACAAGCATCTGCCTCATGCGCAGCAAAGTCTTCGATTTTCAATTGATCAAAGTCGACAACATGGACGAGCACCTTGGCAGCGTGCGTCTCGGGAAGTCCTGGGAAAGCCGTCGCATATGTCGAGGGATCGATGGGCCGCCGAGCGATTGCCACGACCTTTTTGCATCGGGTGGAGCTTGCCAGCAGCTTGATCAATTCCCGGCCCACGGACCCAGTGCTGCCCACGACGATCGCATTGTAATCCGCCATGCTGATTCAAATTTCCACTTTGCTCGATGCCTTCTCAACTCGACAAACTGTCGTATTTAATAGCAAACCTTTATAAACGAATACATACCGATTTTAATATTACATACTATAAACGAGATTGAACATCACACATTTAATTCCAGCCGCCATGGACAAGAATTGTAGCGGTTGTAGGCATGGCCGACAACTCATGGCGCGAACACAGCAGCTTCCAGAACATCGCTGAAGGTGGCGGAAAGGGGGAGCCGAAGGGACGCGCCGGCAGTGGCCCTCAATTCAACCGTGTTATTCCCAAGTTCCTCCAGAAGTATCACACTCCAGAATCACTGGACCACGAAGCCAACTTGGCCTTGAAGCGACCGACGGAACGTGGGGCCGAGGACGACGATGACGATGATGAGCTGGACGACGTTCAGAAGGAGGCGTTGGAAGCATACAAAGTCGAGCAAGACAAAGATATTAAACAGGTTGAAGTCGAGAAGGATGCCGTGGACGCCGCCGTGGAGCCCGAGCAAAGCCGACCCGAGAAGCGAAAGGCCATGACGTTTTCATCGGCATCCAAAAAAGCAGCATCCACGACGAAAGATGCACATGCGGACCATCCCGCCAAGAAGAGGAAAGCTGTGAACAACAAGAAGCTCTTGTCCTTCTCCATGGACGACGACTAACCATTTTCACATCAAAAAGCACAAAGTGTCCTCTACTTGTGCAGTATAAAAATGTCAGTTCATGCGGCGATGGCTAAATTTCGAGGCTTTTTGCGGAAATCTTTTCAAATTATTTCGCAATTCTCAAGCCAGGGGAATCAAAATGACATTTTGAAAGTATCACTTTTACTGGCAAAAAATGTCCTTGCAAGTTTTGCCGTACGTCGAGAATATGTACTGTACCAGAAGAAAACTCTACATCAGTAAACCAATCAAAACGATTGAACCTAGCATTTCCACCAATCAAACGAACTCTAGAAATACCATCGAAAGTACAGCCATCACAATTCAAGGAACAGCCAGCCAACACCACCGCCACCGTCATGCCCACTGCAAACACTTGGACGCCGTCATCGTGGAGGAAGTTCCCCATCAAGCACCAGCCTCCGTATCCCGACGAGAAGCATCTGAATGATGTCGTGGACAAATGTACGTTGCCGTCAACACAGCCTTCTGTGTATTACGATGTACTTACATGAATGTGCCTGTAGTGAAGGGTCTGCCCCCGCTCGTGTCAGTGCAAGAAGTGGACCGACTGCGTCTTCAGTTGGCTGAAGTCGCGGAAGGCAAGCGCTTTGTCTTGCAAGGCGGCGACTGTGCTGAGAGTTTCAGCGACTGCCAGTCAGACATCATCGAGAAGAAGCTGCGCATCATGATGCAGATGAGTCTCGTGTTGGTGTGGGGTGCGCGCATGCCTACCACTCGCGTGGCGCGGATGGCCGGACAGTTTTCCAAGCCTCGCTCCCAAGCGACCGAAGTCATCGACGGAGGTCAGTTTCGTCCATCCAGCCTCGTCCCCCTCCACTCATGTGCATATATCCTGTAGACGAAGTGTGCACATTCCGCGGCGAAAACGTCAACGGCTTCCACAAAAACGAACGCACGCCCGACCCGAACCGTCTCTTGGAAGGGTACTTCCACAGCGCCGGTAGGACATCATCGACACACCTGGTTCCATATCCCATGCACGATACATGCATGCATTAGCCACGCTCAACTACGGCCGCCTCCTCCTCGACAACGGATTCGCCGACATCCACGACGCCGCCAAATGGGAGCTTGGGTTCGTCCAGAACTCTGTGCGCCGCGAGGAGTACTCTCACATGGTCGAGGCCATCCAGGACAGCCTGCAGTTCGTGCACACGTGCGGCGTCGGGGCCGACAACAGCCTCAAGACGATGGACTTGTTCGTGTCGCATGAAGGATTGGGTCTCGGCTACGAAGAAGCCATGACGCGGGAAGTCAACGGTACAGTATCTCATTCGTCGTCACACATTGCTTTTCTATAATACTGTACGCTTTTAGGCCAGTATTACAACTTGGGCACGGACTTTTTGTGGATTGGCGACCGCACGCGCCAACTGGACCATGCGCACGTCGAGTACTTCCGCGGCATCGCCAACCCCATCGGGGTCAAGGTCGGTCCGTCCACGCCACCTGACGACCTCGTCGAGCTCGTGCGCACGTTGTGGCCTCACCCAGAGCTCACGCCGGGGAAGATCACGCTCATCACTCGATATGGAGACGACAAGGTACAAACCATCGACTAGTACTACTAGTAGTAGTCTATATGGATCGGTTGGAGGTCGTCGTGTATGACTGAATGTATTTTATTGTAGGTGGAATCGCTGCTGCCGCTGCATATTGCCGCCATCCAAGCGGCGGGCCTCAAGGTCGTGTGGTCGTGTGACCCCTGCCACGGCAACACGATCACCACGCCCAACGGGTACAAGACGCGTCCATTTGCTCGGGTACGCCATTGTCTCGAACGATATCTCCAAAAGGATATATATATATATATATCGTTATGGAGATATCGTTACATATATATATATATATATGTACTACTTGGACATGCATTTTTTTTGCATTTTATATAAAAAAGGCTGCCATTTGAATGAAAGGTTTTTCGTAACGTTATGGAGTTTTATTAGAATTGGTTCAACGCGAAATATAATTTGTTTTACATGTATATTATATATATATTTATGTGTGTGTCCTATGATTGTATCTTGTGGTGGCGTGTGTATAAAATATGTACTATATATATTGTGCTTTCTCAATGAAATTCAACCAATCAGATCGATTGTGGATCGGTTTGGTCGATTCGATTGCACCCCCTCCCCAAATTTGTATCATATCAACAATATATGCCGTTGTTTGTGTTACGTATGACAAGGATTGCACTGATACACCCGACTTTATGCTGTAAAAATATGACTGACTGTACCTGTATTTTTGGAGGCTGGACGATTGAAACAAGGTGTTTTGGGTTTTATATTATTTTTTGTAATTCACAGGGTATTGTAGATTTTGTCCGAGGTGCAGCAAACGGTGATGATCCATCAGCGCATGGGCAGCTACCTTGGCGGCGTGCACATTGAACTGACGGGCGAAAATGTGACAGAGTGTACGGGGGGGCCGGAGGGGCTGAGCGCGGCGAACCTCCCCGAGCGCTACACGACCATGTGCGATCCGCGGCTCAACTACAGCCAGAGCATGGAAGTGGCGTTCCTCTTGTCCAAGTACTTGAAGAACCAGCACAAGAAGCCACAAGAGACCAAGTAAACAACACACCTATGTGTGATAGTACTTCGTGCTTGTTTATAGTGTGCATTTGCCTCAAATGGCTGTGTTTTAATATAATGCACATTTGGTTTGGCCAATGAGAGTCACGAAACAAAAGTTTTCAGCCAATCAAACGCCACACCAGGTTTCGTCCGAATGCATCAATATAATTGGTGGATAACTACCAAATTTCCACCAATTAAACGGACACACTGCATCCGTTTAATTGGTGGAAATTTCTGCTGATCAGACCAATGTAGGTGTGACTATTTTAATTGGTTGTTATTCTGTCATTTGAATTATTAAAATATCATGAGGATTAGAACGAACACCCGCTTTCGATAGCCAATCGAAATTCGCAATTTGGCCCTCTGGGGTCGCTGTGATAGGCCAAATTTCCTCAAATGTACACTAATAAAGCTCGGAGTAGGGGTTTGGCCCTGGCCGCTGAACGTATGCTTCTTGGCAAAATTAAGCCATCTGATTGGCTAACACTCAACATTTCCGTTCACGCTTTCCGCTAACTCAGGCATGAACGCGAATTTTGAGGCGTGGACAGTTCGTTCACGCCTGGAAAAGGCCGTTCATGCATGGCACGCATTTTCATCCATAACGAAACAGTGTTGTTTGATATTTTTGAAATTCAGAGAATATTTACTATCATTCAATTCGAGAAGTTCAAATAATTAAGAAATTTGATTATTAACCTAATATTACGTATGTATATGGCTAATATCTGGTCTGTCATTGTTTAACGTCGGTTTTGCATAGTTTTAATTTTACGGGGTATTGATTAACGTGTAAATGTACAACAATCGTCAAAATTGTGTATACCTTCGCACCAAAACCTGTGATATGTTATAGATAACCCCTCAAACATTATCCTAGCCTCTCCTATCACTTCCCGAATTGACAGGGAAGTGGACCATTTTGAAGAAAGTACGATGACGCGCACTGTACTCCGTATATTTCCAGGCAGGATATTTGTATGTGAGGTGGTTTCCTAGTTTTACAGCGGTTAACTACAGTATATCCGGTTATTGTTCGGATAAGCTCATGAGGCTCTGCGCCATGAGCGAAATATATATTTTAACAATTGACAGCGGTCTAAAAAAATTGAATATTTAAGTTTTGCAGCTAAATTGAGAGACTACTAGGTAGTACTTCGAAGTATTATTTTTAAAAAAATTGTCATTTCCAGCAATTAAATATAATTAGTCGCACTTTGATCGTCAATTATTGAAAATTCTGTTGTACTAGTATACAAAAGATAATATAGAATATTGTTGACGGCACATCAATCGATATCATATTTCACTGGATCTCGCAGCACATGACGAGCGCCTTGCAATGAATTATTTTCAGTATTTAATTGACAATTATTTTTCCCATACTCTCTCCATTCATGCGGCAATTTGTCGTCACATCCCCCCCAAAAATAACTGCGTTCTTGTTGAAGTCTACAAGTGTGACGTGGGCTGGCGAAAGCTCGATTCGTGCTTGACGTAGGCAGGGCTACATATATTCATACGATGATTAACATGCAGAGTAGACGAGAAAGGAATGGACATACGTGATTGCGGGGATGGTCGTAGTGGCTGAAAACATCATCGCATGCGCCAACTCGTTGGTTAGGATCTCGAGCACATGTTGGACCCCAGCTTGGCCCTACAAGGCGCGTATTAACCACCAACATATGAATGGCTATTAATAGTAGTATGTATCTAAATGCAAGCAATACAAAGTCCGTACGCTATGCGCTAGCCCCCACAGCACGGGTCGCCCTAGGAACACACACCGTGCACCCATCGCCAAAGCCTAGCAAACCTCCATGATATACTTGTTCCCAGCAGCATCATGCCATTGGTGGATGATGAAGTACCTTGAACACGTCCGTGCCTCGACGGACGCCGCCGTCCAAGTAAATTTCGGCGCGGCCTTGGACTGCCGCGACAATCGCCGGCAAAGCTTCGATCGTGGCGGGGACCGTATCCAATTGCCTAGAGGACGGAAATACGATATGGTTGCGTTTACACTGGAGTGATACGGAGAAAATGATGAATTGACACACAACCAACAACTGTACAGAAGGGTTTAGCCAATTCAGGTTGATTGCAGGGAAAACAAAATCGCCATATCAACGTCGAAGTAGTACTACTATGTGATTTCAATTCGAGTGATACCAATCTTCATCACAGGACACATATGTTTTTTGCATGCAAAATAATTCAGTACAAGAATACTGTCGATTTGATAGTACACATTTGGGGAGGGGGTGCAAGCGAATCGTTGCGCCGACCAAACTGATCCACAATCGATCTGATTGGTGGTTGAATTTCATTGAGAAGGTTTTGATTGGCTAATAATTTTGAGCTCATCTTAAGTAGCCAATCAAATCGATTTAAATTCCAACGAGAAACCACAACACGAAATTTCACTCGAAAGCACAATAGATCGATATTAAATTTGGCGATCCAGCACAAAAAAGTCGTCATGGGTACAAGGACAACATGCGATCATTTGAATAGATAGCCCTTACCTGGCGCCATGGTTGGACACGAGGATACCGGCACAACCGACGTCGCATGCCAAGACAGCATCTTCGGGCGTGAGCACCCCCTTGACGACCACAGGAAGAGACGAGATGGACTTCAACCACGCCACGTCCTGCCACGTCAGGTTGGTGTCGAACAGCTCGGTCGCGTACGCGGACAGCCCCGCTTCGTTGATGCCCGTGGCGTGACGTCCGCCGGCAAAGTTGCCCAAGTGGAGATGCCTGCAATGCGCTATGAGTCAGCGGATATATATGAATGCTTGATATCGAGTACGATGGCAATTTGAAGCCGTTGCGGAGATCGGCCTGGCGGTTGCCCAAGATGGGTGTGTCCACGGTGAGTACCAACGCCTTGAAGCCAGCACGCTCGGCTCGTTCCACCAAGCTGCGCGTGAGGTCACGGTCCTGACAAAGCGAAACATGTGTGACATTGTTTTGGGTTAGGTAGAGGTAGGTACCTTGAAGATGTACAGTTGGAACCATCGCAACCCATCGGGCCCGTTGGCGGCCGCGACATCTTCGAGACTCGTGGTGGAGATCGTGCTGAGGATGTAACATGCGCCAGCAGCGGAGGCGGCGCGGGTGCTTGCCAACTCGCCGTCAGGATGAGCCATGCGTTGCATGGCTGATGGCGCAATGCACACGGGGGTCTTGATGCGCTGGCCAAGCACTGTCGTGGACGTATCAATGTGCCGCACATCGCGAAGGACGCGCGGCATGAGCTTGAGCCGCTGGAAGGCCACGCGGTTCTCCTTGAGCGTGACTACAGGGCAAGCCATTTTCATCCATGACAAGAAATCCTAGATTAAGCAGCATAAATAATGTACTCATATCGTCGGCGCCGGAGACATAGTAGTCCAGTGTCGCTTTAGGAAGGTACGCCTTCGCATGCGCTTCAAATTCGTCCACGCTAAGTGGCTTGATGTCGACACTAGCCATGCTATCCAAAAGTGATCAAAGCTCGCAACACAAAGGGTTCGTATCCGGATTCGTTATCCGGAATAGCTTGGCAATTAAACTATACATCCAAGCATACAAACCCAACATCAATAGAATCCGATTTTCCAGCAAATTGATCGGTGGTGATTAATTCCCTCATTAACATTGTTCCACTGAAATACTGTTTCACAGTCAATTAAAACCGTATCATTGCCTTTTTCTCAGAAAACACTGCGTGTTTATATGGGAATTAGTATAATCTGGCCGGTTAATGCATCTGAGTTGTTAGCAATAGCCAACCACTGGCGATGCACTTACAGGGCTACTGGCAAAAAAGTGTATCCGGATGTGATAATTCCCTCGTTCACTGTGAAACAGTATTTTGGGTTAACACAGTGAAACAACAGTGGAACTGTTAATGAGGGTGCGTCTGGTAACCGGAAGTATTCCAATATTCAGGCCGAAAACGCCATTTTGGTATAAATTATACCACTATTAAATGGGTAACTACCACTATTAGGACCACTGTTAAACAGGCTGAAAGCTTGTTCACGGCGCATGCTTCTAACATCTCAACGTGTTCTGTAATGCATGCATCATTTTGAAAAGTTACTTGAAGTCACAGCACCCTATTGCACGCATTACTTTATGAAGGTTATTCGACGTCATGACACTTTATGGCATGCATTAGCGAGCTTTCGCCAGCCCACGTCACACTTGTAGACTTCAACTAGAACGCAGTTATATTGGGGGGATGTGGCAAATCGCCTCATAAGCAGGGTATGTATGGGAAAAATTGTAATTAAAATAATTGGCAATTAATTCAGAAAATAATTAATTGCAAAGAGTCGTTCGTCCTGGGTCGCGGGATTTGTGCCGGTTTTGGAAGCCACCGAATGCAATATGTTATTGATCGATGTACCCGAGGCTGCGGGAAATCGCGGAAACCAGTTTGGCCTGGGCAAAACCCACAATACGAAACGTATTAAATTCGACAGGTTGACTTTAAAAGACGAAAATATACTTATAATATTTTTGGTACTGTACTACGTACTCGGAGTAGTAGTTAACAAAATGTAAACACCTGTTTACATTTTGCTACTTGTTAACTGACACGATTGATGCACTTTCGTGGCCAATTTTGACTATATTTGAGTGTAACGCTATTTTCATTCCACAATCTAGGAGCGTAATCTCAACGTTGCGCTCTGTCATATGAGCCAAAGCGATATGAAATTCAAGGAGGTTTAGGTTGGTTTTTTTAAGGTTGAAGGCTGACGAAACCCACGACACTTCAATGTTCGAAGTGTGATTTCGCGTGAACCAACACGAAGTTCATGAATCTGATAAGATATTCGTTGAAAACTTGGTGAGAGGTCTATGGACAAAAAATTTGGAAGGATTTGGACAAAACTTAGGTAACGTTAGGTTTTTTTTAGGTCATAGTATTGAATTTTCAGTTTACAAAATGTAAACTGGGCTGTTTGCATTTCGAAAACAATTTATATTCATTTTAATTTCCCGCAGCCTCCCGCCAACAATGTTATATATTATCTTTTGTATCCAAGTACAACAAATTTTCAATAACTAACAATTAAATTGCGACAATATTTAATTGCTGGCAATGACATAAATATACTAGTAATTGTCTCTCGAAATGGCTGCCCATGAGGGTAAAATATTTAATTGTTTTGACTGTCGTCAATTAGTAAACATGTTTCTTTGCCATTTTCGTAGCTCAGGTGTGCTTGTTACGGCTAGGAAACCACCTCACATACAAATACCCACACCAGACCTGCCTGGAAATATATAAGTACGGTGCGCGTCATTTTCATTGAAAATTGGTATGGAGCGGTTTTGGACCTCATATTTTTTACAGACTTAGTTGACCTTAACAACTGTAGGACAAAAGTACTGTACTAGTATGGGACAGCGAGTTGGAATGGTGGAGAAATGCTCTTATATCTAGATTATTAACCTAATATTAGGCCTATGACCAATATCCGGCTAGTCGTAGTTTAGAAGTAAGTTAACCCGCTAGGATGGTAACGTTGATCTTATTTTTATAGGGCCGCATTGATTAGGGTGGGTCTGGAAAACATCCCAATTTTTGCCCAAATAATATTTCGAAATTTGGTTCAAAGTAATTCGAAGAATTTGGTTGTCATCTACTAATCTATTGTTGACTGTCTGAATCAACCTGATTTCGAAAGAAAATCTATCATTCTCAGTTATTGCCAACTTTCAGAAAATAAGCCTTCTGGTTCGTGAACCTCTCATTCATTTTTGGCGAAAAATGCGATATTTGGCAAAATATTGAATTCTCCAAATTTTGGATTCACAGTCAGACAGATATTTTTTCTTTTTTTGCCGATTTCTTAGAAATCGCCAAAATGTAAAAGATATTGGCCCTTTTTTTACATCCACAGACACCCTTAGCACAATAACGTTACATATTAATAGTACAAACATGCGCAATATATATACCAGTACATCGAAATCGAATGTGAAGCACGACACCATATCAATGTCGCACGTGTATCTCGATATCATACCGAACAGAATGGGGCAATAGAAATGGTTGCACGATACGATATCATCGAGAAATACTACCAGTAACGTTAACGATATATTTTTCCGCCCCACATTTCTACCTGGGATGGTATCCGGAATCATTATCCGGAAAAAACTTGGCAATTAAATTATACACATCACAGCATACAAAACCAAAGATGAAATAAATAGAATCCAATTCGAGCGAAATGGAGGGGGCAGAAAGAAAGAAACAAAAGGTTGATAATCGATCAGTGGTCGTGCTCCATATCTAAGCTTCCCCCACCGCCACATCCACCGCAGCCGCCATGTCTATGATCTTTGACGAATATGGAAGACCCTATATCATCCTGCGGGACCAGGAGACTACAGAGCGCATCAAGGGTATTGAAGCGATCAAGGTAACTTGAACGATCCGCACCTCTGCCTCTATGTGTGGCCATGAAAGGTGATGGCTTGTGGTCGTGTAGAGCAACATCCTAGCCGCGCGCACCGTGTCCAGCTTGTTGCGCACGTCCCTTGGCCCCAAGGGAATGGACAAGATGCTCGTGAGCCAAGACGGTGACGTGACGATCTCGAACGACGGCGCGACGATCCTCGAACAAATGCACGTGGAGCACCGCGTGGCACATCTTTTGGTGGAACTGTCGCAGTCCCAAGACAACGAAATCGGCGACGGCACCACCGGCGTGGTGGTCCTTGCCGGCGCGCTCCTCGAGCAAGCCGAGAAGCTGCTCGCTCGCGGGTTGCACCCCATGCGCATCGCCGACGGGTTCGAAGAAGCGTGCTCAGTCGCCGTCAAGAATTTGGAAGCCGTGAGCGACCGGATTGAGTTCTCCAAGGACAACACGGCGCCCCTTATCGAGACGGCGATGACGACGTTGTCGAGCAAGATCATCAACAAATACAAGCGCCAGATGGCCGACATCGCCGTGAGCGCCGTGACCAAAGTGTGCAACTGGGAGACGCGCGACGTCAACTTTGACCTGATCAAGGTCGAAGGCAAACCCGGCGGGACCTTGGAAGAGACCAAGTTGATCCACGGGATTGTGATCGATAAGGACTTTTCCCATCCCCAAATGGCCAAGGAGATCCGAGACGCCAAGCTGTGCATCCTCACGTGTGCGTTCGAACCCCCGAAACCCAAGGTACGTCTTCCCCATATCTTCCCGTCAAAAACTCATATTCATGGGATATGTCCCCATCATCACTAGACCAAGCACAAGCTTGACATCACGTCGGTCGAAGCGTACGAAAGCCTGTACGCGCAAGAACAAGAGTACTTTCACACGATGATCCAGCAAGTAAGGTCGACATCGAATCTATCAGCTGCTGCCATCCATCGTGGCTACAGAAAAAACGCTAAAACGCTGTCGCAGATGCAATCCAATCTCATGTTGATTACTAGGTCAAGGACAGCGGGGCGAACGTGGTCATCTGCCAATGGGGGTTTGACGACGAAGCCAACCACCTGCTGCTGCAGAACCACCTCCCGGCCGTGCGATGGGTGGGCGGCGTCGAGCTGGAGCTCATTGCGATCGCCACGGGAGGCCGTATCGTGCCGCGCTTCTCCGAGCTCACCGCCGACAAGCTCGGCCACGCCGGCGTCGTCCGCGAGGTCGCGTTTGGCACGACCAAGGAACGCATGCTGGTCATCGAGGACTGCGCCAAGTCGGACGCGATCACGGTGCTCGTGCGCGGCGGCAACAAGATGATCGTCGAGGAAGCCAAGCGGGCGCTGCATGACGCCATGTGTGTCACGCGCAACCTGATCAAGAACAACCGCGTCGTGTATGGCGGCGGCAGTGCCGAAATCTCGTGCGCGATTGCCATCCGCAACCACGCCAACCAAACCACGGGCATCGAACAGGTATCAATCATCCTGTGTCGCATTTTCAAGCGAATGAAATATGTGACGGGGTTTTGTTTGTGTTTCATGAGGTGTTTAGTGTTTCAGACTTTTATTGTGCTTTCGAGTGAAATTTCGTGGTTTCTCGTTGGTATTTCAATCGATTTGATTGGCTACCTCAGATGAGCTCAAAATTATTAGCCAATCAAAACCACCTTCTCAATGAAATTCAACCAATCAGATCGATTGTGGATCGGTTTGGTCGGCGCAACGATTCGATTGCACCCGCTCCCCAAATTTGTATCAAATCGACAATATACAATGTTTCTTTTTTAAAAGTGGTTTTATATGTTTGTATATAAAACCAACACTTTGTTTCATTTTTTAAAGTGGTTTTATATGTTTGTATAAAATACATGTATTCCCACCACCACCACCACCGTGGGAGACGTATCAAACGTGGCTCTACGTGGTGGAAAATTCCTTTTTTTAATTATATTTTTGACTGTTTTGATTGTACGTGTGTGTTGATAGAGTAATATTAATATAGACGTTGAAAACTGAATATAGTGTGTTGACAAAGATATATATTTCTCTATGAATAGTATGCGATCCGTTCGTTTGCTGAAGCGTTGGAGGACATTCCGATGGCGCTGGCCGAAAATGCCGGCTTGAGCCCCATCGACTCGCTGTCGGCCGTCCGCGCGCAGCAGATTGCCGACAACAACCCCCGCCTCGGCATTGATTGCAACCAAACGGGCACGTTTGGTACGTGTTTTATACAATATTAAAAATATATTATTTGATATTTTGAATCTATTATTTGATATTTGGTGGTGTTGTAGACATGAAGGAACAGCACGTGTTTGAGACGCTGATTGGCAAGCAACAGCAAATTCAGCTGGCGACGCAAGTCGTGCGCATGATCTTGAAAATCGACGACGTCATGCTGGAAGGATCGTACGCGTAGAGAACGAGGGTGCTAGGTGTGTAGGTAACAACAACAAACAAAAGAACAAGACATTGGGGTTGGTAGTAGAAACGTTAGTCGTGTTTTGCAAGTTCAATACATGTAGTTAGAGTAGTATATAGGGCAGTGATCGATGGTATTGAGTACAGTAATAATAGGGGAATATACATAGACTCTACATTTGGCAACGAAGTATTCAAAGCTGCACGATCCGCAGATGTAAGCCAATAATGTCCTATACAATAATAACGGTGGAACAACCAAGGTCACCGTTCGAAGTTGGCACTTCCATTCAAATACTAATACTATTAATAGTACGTAGTATTAATAACAGTGTATACTATATAATACATCATTTTTCGTTCAAGTTCAGGTGATTTCTGGTATATTCACGTAATGTGCGTTCAAATGCTCGAGGCGAACCGGGGGGATGAGCTGTCGATCTTTCTGTCGTACTCGACCTTTGCGAATGTCGTGCGGCAGCGGTATGTGACCAAATGGCGCCCCCCCATGCTCAAGCTCTTCGAAGCGTACCAAAACCTCATGCTTGAGTTTGTGAACCGCGCGATCGAATCGAAGAAATCCAAGCGATCGCTGGAGGGTCACTTCAAACAAGTCGCCAACGGCTTGTCGCTCGGCATGCCAACGCGACCATGGTTGAACTGGACAAAATGATACAGACTGAAAGTCGCCCGTTCACGATGAACCAACGCCTTGGCGAAGTGTTGATGCAGTTGCGAACGCAGCCATTGATGGACGGACGCCCTCGACGCTTTATCGGGTAACGTTAGTACCTCTTTCCAGCTTACATTCACACAATCAACACCGTGATTCAACTTTTGTCGTGTGCTAGGGAACCACGACGCCGCCCGTGTGTCCATGGGTGCCGTGAAGGCCCTACTGAAGAATCATGCAGGGATTGGAGCCAGTACGAACGAAGACCAGCAAGCCAAGGAGTTGCATTTGGCCATTATCGCGTATATGAAGGTCGCGTCCAAGCGCTTTGTGGATGTGATTCCAATGCTGTTGCAGACGAACTTCACGCAGCCCATCTTGTTGGCCGTGTTCAACGAGACGGCGGAAACATCAGACGGAGTGCTCGACCGCGTACTCATGGACAACATCGCGGACGTTGAACGCTACCAGAACGTGTCGAACCAGCTTAAGTCCCTCGAAGCTGCCAAGAACATCATCAACGCATACTGAGCTGCGTGCAATATGCAGCTAGATACGACATCTACATGATTCACAGTTTACTTGTTATCCTTGTTCGTAAAGATAGCGATTCCCCGTCCAAGTTTACAGTTATGTAGTTGCCGCAAAACAGTAACATTAGGGTTTGGGTTCAAGATCATAATAATTCTAGTACGAACTTCGGTATTTATTTGAAATACGTACTTCGAATTAGAGACAGTGAATAGATAAATGAAAATAATTTATAAATCCATCAAGGAAAAATCGCAACGCGAGGATGACCTCCACGACGACGAAATCTGAGCATGGCTCGTCTCTCTTGTCCAAGGTGGACCAAGTGATGGCGCGCTGGAAGAAGGCCACCGCGCCATTGACGGCGAAGACGAGCCACGAGTTCATTCCTCATGCCGTGCAAGCGCCCAAGGACGTGTTCACGCAGTGCCATCCAAACAACCGCGCCGACTTCCAAGCACGGGTCGCCACGTTTTCGTCCATCAACTGGTTTGCCAAGCCCACGGAACTGAACCTTCTGACTTGTGCTCGCTTCGGATGGATCAACAGCGGACCCGACGAACTCGCATGCAAGTGCTGCGGCCAAACGCTGTCTTGTCGTATCGATTCCCGCCTAGGACCAGAGGTTCGGACACCCACATCGTTCGCCCCTCTCTCACATTGTTCATGGTAGGGTGCGAAGAAGGTGGCTGAAGGACTCCGTGGCTACCTCACCTCACACCATTTGGACACTTGTCCTTGGAAACACAATCCGTCCCCCACGTCCTTTGCGCAGGTACATACATATGTGTCCCCATCGACTTTGATATCTGCATCATGTCCCGTCATCCTTCTCTCACTATCTCTCTCCCAGGTGAGCTTTTGGACCCACGACAGCGCGTTGATCGAAGTCCACGCGGCGATTCAACAAACCATCGCAACATGGCCACACCTTTTTCTTCCATCGTCGCTCGTCCTCGACGATTCGTTCCGCGACGATCTGCAGCGACAGCTTGGAGTGTCATGTGATCAGGAACTGGAGTCGACTTTGATGGCTCTGACCCGTCAAGCCATCGACGCTACAGCGGCCACCTCCGATCATTCCATCAATGTCGACACCTTCCATGCAGCAGGAGTAGTCGTGCCAATTAGTCTCGCCCTATGTGGGTGGAAGCCTGTTGGACACGCAGGTCACATACATTTGACGACACATGATGATAGCATGATCTTCAGTTGTTGCTACGTATAACCTGTATATCAGTCGAGTGTGAAGTGTGGTCTCGTGTATCTGATGCATATACTGGCATGTGGGACTATTATTAGATGGAGCGAAAGGCGGCAGCGATGTAGCGTTTGCATGTGCCCAGTGCAATCGGACATGGCATCTCTCAACTACCACCGCCGACAAGGCGCTTCCATCAAAGGACGCGTCGGAGCCCGCCCCCAAACGTCTCAAGGCGACTGCTGCTCACGTCACCCTGCACCCCCTTGACGAACATCGATGGTACTACTACTATTCATAGGCATCTTTCTTCATATTGTCATGTATCATGTATAGGTATTGTCCCTGGGTTCGAACGGTACTGCCCAGTGAACGCTCGGACGACAATATCGATGTACCAGGATGGCTGCAATGCGCGCAGGTCATGTAAACTCGTCAGGCAACCAGCCACCAGCATCAAGCATCTCACGTGAAGCATGATCGAATGATGTAGGCGGTCAAGGCGACGTATGTGACCAAAACTGACGTTTCTACGGAAGAACTGCCCACAGACGAGAACGATCAAGTAGATTCACAATGTGGTATTAGTCGGATGGTAGAAGGTGGCATCGCGCCACATCCGTCGACCGTGCTCTCGGCGGTACAAGCGCTGTTGGACTTTGCCTAATACAGTAGCGTTGGTATAACGACACAGACGAGGGGATGGTGTTGCTTTTTATCGTTGAAGATATGCATTGGTGTTGGGTTCAGGGGGAAAGTCGACGGCTTTGAAATACGCTTGGGATTCTAGGAACTCTTCGAGGTGATCCAGGTAGCGAAGGCGGCGCAGACGCGTGTGCCGCTGGAACTCGCTTTCGTCCTCTTGATTCTCGTGTTTTATACAGTGGAGACTACCGCTGGTGTCCACCGTGATGCGCTGGCGTTTGGATCGGAAGGATGGCGGCGGGGACTCCATGACGATGGTGTAGTTTGGAGGAATGCAAAAACATTTTGTGCCAGAAATAAGAATACCTTGAAATACCAATCAAATCACTGTATTTTAAAACCAACAACGAATGAAATGTTGATATTCTTTCATTTCCACCAATCAAATGGTACTATAGACCAAGTGTTGAACCTGTCCGTAATCTGTAGCCAATCACACGCCGACATTCGAAATAAAATAGAAAGTTCCTGGTGCTTGTCCGATTGTCGCAAATTCTGCTCGTCCGATTGTCGCAAATAATACCAAGTATACGTATGGGCACAGTTCCGTGCCAACACAGTTCCGTGCCACAGCTTTGATAGGTCAATTCGGTTGATATTTGACATATTATAGCCAATAGAACGCGTCTTTGAAATTCTGATACTCGAAGCTGCATTTTTGCATCCGGATAAAATGGCACGGATTTGTTTTCAGCCTATCGAGATTTTGAATATTCAAGGCCATTTTACTCTCCAAACTAATGCGAAATTCGATACAATTTCAAGTCACACAATCTGCATTTTTCCTCGTGATTACAAAACACTATTATAATAGCAAATTGGACGTCAGGAAGATCTCCAACTGAGGGCCTCTAAATGTTGCACGGAACTCGGCCCTTACGTATATGTTCACTTATCGCATCGCAAAAAGATTCTTCAAGTTACTGGTAAGACTTATTAACCCTATAGGACGGGAAGTCAAACCCAAGTCAAGTATACATAAGAATAGGCTTGATTATAGTATGGTTTCGTCCAGGTGAGAGATTCTATCACCCAGAACTTCAAGTTAAGGGGTACTGTGATCAGAAATGGCGTATTTTTAATCACTTTTAGTCGATAAAATCTATCACCTGGGATACGTCAGTATTGTGCACTCTGATTGGCCCATCTAAATCCAATGTCGAATATGTATTGGCTAATATATAGTTGTACTTTCCGCCTTTTATGAATGATTTGCAATCGAATCATCTAATAGCGGATGAATCCACCTCGTCAGCACGAAACCCCCGTCGTTTAACGTGTACGAATAATGCAAAAATCACGTAGTTTATCGTGTCAAATCACGGATTTGGCACAATATCTTGGATAGATTCACCATGAGTACGGAAACGATACAATGCAATAGGGCAATTCAAACTTTTGGGGCATTTAGTCAATAGGGATATACGATGATTGGGACGAAGGTTGACCATGCAGCCACCATGATGACCGTATACACAGCGAGTTCGTCGATTTATCACCACTACCAGTGTGAATAAGTTTGTGCCTCCGATTTGAATCCATTTTCATCAAGCTGGTGGTGATACCGGTATAATTGTAGGACAAACTCAACCTTCAATGCTGTACTGCAAACTCACAAATGATACAAGTACTTCGAAGTAAAAGTTGAGTCATCGGCGGGATTTGAACCCGCAACCTCCAGCATGAAAGCTCCAAACTTTACCGTTAGGCTGCGCCGACACGTTGTATCCCACTGCGGTCATCATAATATATAGCTTCATCATAATTATCCCATGATACCCAGATTTGGAAAGGTCGCCCAAACATGGCAGCCAACCTTGCCAACTTCCAACGAGGCAGCAACGTCCAAGACATGCTCTGTGTGTTGCTGCGTGATACAGTAGCGCACACAGCTTGGCACGGACGTTGCTGTCTCTTGGCTGTGTCAAAGGAATGAATACATGCTAGGGTCTCTGGCGATTCGCCAGCGTGCTGTAGGAGGCTGCTCACTTGCAGAGTGTGAGCGTCCAAGCCGTTAAGGCTAGTGGTGGTTCGTTCTGCCAGTTGTTTATGCGTGCGTTATGTGCTCATTGTAAGTAGCGAGTACATGAAATAAGAAGATTCACAGCATTCAAAAAGGTGGTTCAACAAGTAGTGTCAACAAAACTCGTTTGAAAGCAGCGGATTCATTGCTGCGACGGGGTCAATAATGAAATATATTCATCGAGCTACCACGGATAGGAATTATAGTGCTAAGAGTTGCTTGCTGCTATGATGAAGACCGAAACAAGGGAAATATTTTTCGTGTAATGTGTGACATTCCTACCAGGTAAACTAGTGCAACATTTCTACCACTAGTGCGCGACACATAATTCTAACACTGCAGTCGTAATTCTTGACAATCATCGCCGCGCCTACCCGTATTGTGGGAAGTATTTGTAGCACCCGAGTTTGTTGGCAATCTTATCTGAGCTTTTTCTGACGAGTAATTTACTGGGTTGTATAAACGAACACACCCTACATGTAGTCAAATCCGATGGCTACAATTCGTAGCATACTAGTATTGCGAAACGTTTAGCAAGTGCAACTTAGCAAGTGCAACTTTAGGATAACGTTAACTGTGAACTGCTTGACAGCACCAATAAAAACTACCGGTAGTACACAAACCTGACCTTGTCTGCACAACTCACTGAGTTCATGGTTAAAATGGTGCAGCGCTACTATTCGAGCACTTTGATAACTTAAAACACGACAAGTAAAATCTACAGATCGCAGGTTGCTTGAGTCGTAAAATCTAAATCGAACGTCAGCTGTCAAATCTAACGTGGTGGCACCGAATCTGAGACCGTTGCAATGCTCAGTAGGGAGCCTAATCGTGGCCACTATGTATTTGCGCATGGATGTCATACCAGTGTAGTATCAAGAATAAATTAGTTAGAAATCTGCACACGTCAACACAATATTAACACTAACATGGTCACAGCCAACGCCTAGCTAACAAGTACAATGTAGTTGGGGCCACCATCACGCTCAATTTAAGCTAGTCAAGGTGGTAGAAATCGACAAGCTGAGTAAAAACTAAACATCGTATGCCCACCAAGCAGAACTTACCGATATTAAACATATCTATTAACGCGTTAAGCCCAAACTGTACTTCGACACAGGGGCAAACTAAACAGGCAAATGGACTCCACTTATAGTCAATCGAGTGCCCTCCCCAAGGTCAGCTTTCAATGCTCATCATACTACTGTAAGCCCCTACTCCATAGTCGAATATGACTACCACCATATATTCTACAGGTAGTACAGGTAGTAATGACTCTTGCTCTATTAAGGGTTAAGGGTTCACACTAGGGCGGCAAACATGTGAGCTTACTGTACTTCCACAGCACGGTCCTACACTATGTAGGTGTCCCCAGTTTGAATTGGTTGCCACAAATCTTGTACTATAACAGTTAAATACCATTGTAGAGCAAGGTGCATCGTTAGTGTGTCGGTTTGATTCCAAGATGCAGACGACATAGTCCGCGTTTCGAGCTAGCTTCGACCATTTCTTTTTGCAATAATTATACTCCGGTTGTTTTTGTGACCCTCCTAATTTTGATTTGTTTGTATAAAACAGTTTTATACCTATAAAATTGAATTCGAAAGGTATTAACCACTTGGCTGTTTAGGGTATTTACAATCGACCTATGATCCGGTTAATGGCATGAAACATACTTCGAAGTACATTTTTACCTTGATTTGGGACGATAAACATCGTCAAACCAGCATTATTCGGACACGATAAACATCGTCGAATTTGGCCGAACGTCCTGGATGAATCAGGGATTTTGAAAATACAATTTTCATGAAGTGGCTTCTTAAATTGAACGAGACATCGGCAATTGAAGGGAATTCAAGTTCGGCTGATCATCGAGAGTTCACGTTACTGTAGGATGAGTATGGTTGACAAAGAAAACGCTAAAATCTTGGATATTTTGGCAATTTCTAAGAAGTCGGCAAAAATAAGATATTACCATATCTGTCTGGATCAAAAATTTGGAGAATTCAATGTTTTGCCAAATTCGCATTTTTCGCCAAAAAATAGAAAAGAGGTTCAAGCGCCTTTTTTCTGAAAGTTGGCAAGAACTGAGATTTGTCGAGTTTCTTTCGAAGTCAGTTTGATCCAGACAGTCAAAAATAGGTGGCAGCCAAATTCTTCGAAATACTTTGAACCAAATTTTCGAAATATTAATTGGCAAAACTTGGGATGTGATTCAGACCCGCCCTTAGCAAATAAAAAAGTGGTGCCAGACGCTTCCTAGTAACGTTAACGCTCGTACTTTTTACCTCTTTTTCTGCGATTTTTTACGCAACTCACTATACCAAAAATTGAAAAAGACGTCCTTGATGTCTCTTTTTTAATCGTGAAAAAATACTACTTTTCGAAGTAAAGAGGTAAATCGAATCTGATTGGCTAATGCTATTTTTGAAAACTAATATGGTACTCCGAGTAAACTTGGAAATTCCCCTACTTGGAACTTCCCCTAATAACCTATTAACCCTAGTTCTGCGTGATAGAATCTCTCACCTACTAGAAGTTCGAACTTAGGCAAATAAATTATTGAAATAGGACACTCAAATAGTACTGTCGATGATAGGCCCATTCACATACTTGTTTAAACTATAGAGTACAGTACTGTAGTTGAGGTGGTGTTGCATGCAAAGAAACCAATTTATAGAGGAATATAATGTTTACACAGGTATCGTACATTGGAGGCAAATTTGACTAATTTCATCAACAATGCTGTATAATAAAGGTATTACGTTTAGGAGAGATCTATTTTATCCAATCAAATGAAATCTTTTCTATTGGGTAAACCTGCTCGGCATATCATCGAGAGATTATGTTAATAGTAAAAACATTTATTAATACTTGGAACAGGCCCAAAATACCAATAGTATTGTACCTCTTACTTTGGCCAGCCATGCTGTATTTCACGAATTATCATGTCGTTTTAGTATTTTCATGTTGGGGTAACGTAAGGATGACTTTCGGCCAAGTGCAGCGGCGCCACGAGGATTAAGAAACTCGAGATTTCTTGTATGATTGGGGCTACCAACACAGTATTAAATAAAGGGGGCGACACCGTCTTCGAGATCCCTCGTGTGGGAATAAAGAATACGCTCACGTACCTCCGTGCCGGTGGAGTTGGGGGGAAGCGGTGTGGAGGTCATTGATGGCTAGTATGACAGTGATAATGAGGAGAATTCGTTCCAATATACTACCAGTACATAGTATTAATATTAGATACTGTACTATATAGTATTAGACACAGATTTGTGCATCTGCAATTGGGTAATCAGTAACCAATCACACACCGAAATTTGAAATAGAGCTATATGGTTGGTTTCTTTTGAAACGCCAGTGGTGACTAGGATCTTTGATGCCGCAAGGGAGGTGGTTGCATGCGGGAGTAAGGAAACAATCATTTATGGATAACATTGGCACACTCGTTTATGCCACACAAAACTCCTGAACGTCGTCTACGTCGGACATCGTGGTTCAACACCGTCGGCCGTAAGTAGTGCGGACTGTGTATTAGGGTGGGTTCAGATCTATGTGGCTGCACTACTGTATTGACTTTTTACATCAATGCTGTGATGTGAGTTTTGGTGCCAATACCGACATACATGAATCAAGATACAGTAATAATTCCCCACTAACGACGCCACGATGCCCCCTTCTCCAAAATCGCAAAGAATTGCACCCTCTGCAGCCCCCGCCTCAGACATGAACGCTGCTGTTAACGTCTTCGTGGCCAAATGCCCGCGATGCCATGGACCACAATGCCACAGCAGTTATACCACACCTTCAACATTCCCAAACTACATCGGGGAATTCCATAGTTACGACGGCACATCCATTTCCCATATACACGCACGTATAGATACTACTACCGGTAGTAGAAGTACCATCAGAACTTTGAAAGGCTGGGATTTTACTTTTGGATTGTCATACGAACGACGGTTATCAAAGCAGTCTACATATCCGCGGAAGGGGAGATGATGTTTCCAATTCGGTGTGAAGTAAAATCCACCACTACCAACTGAGTGCATTGGATGCCTGAGGTCACATCCCCAACTTTCTGACACCTTGAAAGCCAACTCCCAAACGAAGATGATGGCGTTGGACTATCGCTTACTGATGATTATGGTATCCGGTTGCTTCTCTCGTTTTTCCCTTGTTATCACTTTACGAGACGATGTCGAAACCAAAACCCTCGACGGTTGGTGCTTCAGACACTCCTTCAGCTCAAGCCTCGCTCCCACCGGTGGACACCAACCCTCCTTGGCGTCCTGTTGGTGAAGGCGTGATGCCAAGGGTCAGAATGCCAAACACGGTTATTGACGACATCGTGGCGGCGGGCGTCGTGAAGGACGAGTGCGAAGGCGAAGTCCTATTCACGTTGAGACTTGTCAGCACCAAGTCCGGAGCGTGGCAAGTGTTCAAGCGATGGGCATGTTCGCTGGGGAACGTCTTCCTCCTGGTTCGAACTCTCCATGCTCGTTCAGAACCCAACGCAATCTATCCGCCGAATGGGATGGGCTATCGAGTTGATAGCGAAGCAAGAACCATCGTCACCAACATGGCGCACTTGATGCCTTCGAATGTTGCCAACGGCATCCCTGAGTTTCCCGATCCTCTGAAACGCTGGCGAAACTTGGTGAACGTCGAAAACGCCGAGGTTGCTGTCACGGCGGTGGTCCAAGCTATTTCGAACCCCAGCCCCAGATTCCCCCTGATTCGTGCCCTCGAACCCGGAACGTACATTTGCCATTTGCTCTACACTTGGCGAGCGGGACTCGTCATAGTACCCATCTATCGGGAATGAGTTACACGACATGTTGCCGCTTTCGACGGGTTCCACAGGCTAATCGTCCCTGTAAGTTCATTTGCATCAACAATATGTCACATGCGTTCTATGTACACGTGTGTTGGCGGACTCATATACTCGCCGCCGTCTTTTTTATTCGTGTCGTTATCGCCTCCATCATATTAGCATTCTACCGGTCGCTCACAACAAATCACAAACCCCAGTGACAATACCCTTGTTTCTTGCAATGAGCTGACATGGTGCGGCTTCCGACGACAAATATACTCAAGGCGACATGGTTGGGAACACTGTAAACCCAAGGTAGAACTTACTGTCAAATGATATATCGTCGAAGTATATTCTTAAATCAATGGAGCATCTCAAGCAAGACAAGTCAGTTTGTGCACGCGCTCAGAAGCGTCAAAATGTTCCGAAGGAGGGGAACTGTGACGACCCCCCTCGTCAAGTATAAATCAAGTGGCAAATATACGTGCCAGGTTTGAGGACATGGATCAGGGGGCATCTGGGGCTGGGGTTGGTTTTCGACCACTGCCGTGGCAGGGTTCTGAACGTTCACGATATTTTGCCAGCTTTTACGAGGATCGGGAAACTCTGGGATGCTGCCATTGGCAACAAATTACTGACATCCAATGCGCCATATTGGTGATGATGGTTTATGCTTCTTTCTTACCTCAAAAGCCAATCCCCATCGACGGAAATTATGCATCGACAAGCGTTGTCCGTACAAAGTTAAGGAAGACGACGATCCCCAGCGAGCACTCCATCGCTTGAGCACTTGCCACGCTTCGGATTTGGTGCTGAGATTGTTCGAGTGAATAAGTCATCGCATTCGTCTTTCATGGTGCCAGCTATCACCATGTCGTCAACGACTGATGTCTGCATTCCGGTCCTTGGTGTCACGGCTTGACCAACAGGACGACAAGGAGGGTTGGTGTGTACAGGTAGGAGCGAGGCTGCTGCTGAAGGGGCGGGGAAACGCTAATCGTCGAGGGCATGGCTCAGCGTGGCTGCTTCTACGTTGGTGTGGCATCGTATCGTGAACAGTTTGCAAGATAATGGACAGACCTGATCGATGAGCAATAGTCCAACGTCATCACCTTCGAGAGCGAAGTAGTAAAGTCCAAGAGCCGCCCCGAATGCATATTGTGATGTCCACAGACAGGTGGAAATGTCAGTAATGGTAGTTATTAACACGGACGGAGTGAAGAAGTCGTGCTTGGGCGTCACAATGGCGTGGAGCAATTAGGTAGGGCAACCGGATGCCAGAATGCGATCCGACATCCCAAGTAAAGTCCCATAAACGACGTTGACGGGTGACCTTGGATGCGTTGCTCTCTCTCGAAGGCTACTGTATCTCTGGCGATTCTTGACCATTTCCTTCATCCCCCCATTCATTTACACGACTTAACAAGTTGTCGGCCGTGTTTCAAAACCGACGACGTTCCAAGATACAGTACTGTAATTGCATATATTAAACGATGAAAGGCAATGACTCTCCATCACTAGGCAAATCCAAGAATGATGTTTGCTACATCGAGTTCATGTGGGGCGATGAGTTTCGAATGCAAGCATTTGGGGGGCGATGAATGGAACCATTCAGTACTATATGGAAGCAGCACCTCGCCAAGTACTGTATATACAGTATCATGTGGCAAATGTACGTACCGTGTTAGAGTGCATGGATGAGGGGGAATCTCGGGCCCGGTTGGTAATCGCCTGGATCAACGTTCACGTCTGGGAAGTGGCCTTCAAGCTGTTCAGGACACTTAGGGATGCCATTGGCAACATCCGCGGACATCCAATGCGTTGCGTTGGTGAGCATGGTATTTGCTTCGCCCTGAATTCGATACATCAACTCCTTCAGTGGATAGATTGCATCGGCTTCTCCCGTGAAAAGTGCGTCTGACCACATTGGGGAAGATGTCCCCCAACGAGATCACCCATCGCTTGTAAACTTACCATGTAGTATCGGACCTGGCATGTCATCACATTTGTCGTTCACGGTGCTAGCGTCCACTATGGGTTGGACAATATGTTGTGGTCTTGCCGAACAGGGTTAATATCTAGGGCGGGGGTCGTCGAATGTGTACTACGTCGCAGCGTTTGGAGGAGGACTAACGACGTCACGTGACGATGCTCTCCCTCCTCCAAGTCGTCCATGATATTTTCCGCTTGCTCTTCTACACTTGGCGAGGAGCTATCACGGTGACGCCCCCCGTCATTCGGTTATGAGGGGAGATGTTGCCGCTTCACTGATTGATTGTGCCACGAAATGTGTCGCTGGCCTACTACGCCACTATTAACTTGATTTGATTTGAATTATACACTTGGTGGTTGTCCATATATGGGGGGATTCTAGTCCTTGGAATTAAGTTCTGTATTGGAGCTTCTTTTGATGGGGCATCCGAAGAGCCATTGGTCGCGGACGCGGCGGTGCGCTATGTGGACTTCGTCTCGCGAAGGATTCGGCAATGGACAAGAACCTTAGTTTGGTAATTGGACAACCGCAACATATTTTTGCACGATCGAGGTTTCTCAGTCCATATAACATACATAAAAGTAGTTCAGAGCATCGGGGCTGAACGTTAATCAATGGCGCCTCCGATTCGAGAAAGCGAATTCAATGCACAGCTGTCTGCGATCGTTGGGCCATGTCGAAGACGAGTAGATTGAATTCCAACGTTAAACCTCTTCTGCGAAGTTGTCGGTAAAAACATACATCAAAGTATACGATTTTGAGGCTGTGAAGCGAACAGCTAACAAAGTTGTCGCCTTGTACGCTTCACCAATGCGCTATACATATGTTAAGCAATAGAAGCCTAAGTCTATTCATCACGGAGCAAAGCTCAACAAGGCTATTCACGACGGGCACCTCGGTCATTGGCTTTCGAAGGTAATCAAGGTCATTTTATGGTTGACGCGTTGATAATAGTCAAGTCGATGCAAAGTCAATGCCAGATTTGCGGCGGGGTGGGGATGCACTGCTGGCACCTTCCCTTACCATTTCAATCAAGTCCAACAGCTCCGCGCCGTACGGGTCGTAGCCAGGAATGGCAAAGTCAAAGTTGCCTCGAAAATTAAATCGCACGCGAGCCGTAGGGTCGTGGGACGAGAACAGCGTCACGGTGGGATACAATGCGTAGTTGGCGCTGTGTAAGAGTAGCTTTTTTAGCCCTGACGTGGGTTTCGTGTGGTGGTGGCTACCAGCAGAGTTGACACAGGCGTTGCTACATGCATTGCTACATGCATTGCTACTCGAATGAGGATGGCTAGGCACACTGACCAACGCCCCATTCAAGTAAAAAGCAACGAAGGGCTCGGTGGCGTCTTGGTCGATGGCACACCCGATCACGTCGCCTTGACGAAAGCACGGCATGCCACTGTGTTGTTTGCCGTTGATGTACAGTATCCCCATTCCCCCACTGCCACCGTTGGGAGCGGTTCCAATCGAGGGATCAACAGGAGCGACACTGCTTATGCCTGTGGATACACTCGAGTCGGACACCCACATGATCCCAAAATCGTTGCCGTCTTCCCCAGGACTCAACCCTGGGATAATCATACCTAGGAAATCATATAATGTATATGAATGCCCGCCCAATCCAATTTGAAAGGGGGGGATGTTAGGGGGAAACTTTACCGTAGCCGTTCTTTGTACCAAATCGAGTCATGCGACCTCGGGGGGACGGCGGGAGTGCCATCGTTTCGCTAATACGTGTTGAATCGGTGGTAGGATTGTCGAGGGGGCCCCATTGCAATGCCGAGTGCCTTGGCACGTCCCATCCAATGGCGACGCTGCCTGCTGTATCCATACGCTCGAGGGTCACCTGTCCACATCCCATCAACAATCAAGTCAAGTACGAACCCCCGAAAACCCCTAAACCACAAGCCAAAATCAGCGAGATAGAATAGTATGTACCTCAAACATCCACCGCCCGAATTCCCCCGCCCGCCTTGGCTTAGTGGCCATGGCGGCGCAATACCGACGTGCCGACTCGAGCTCCACGACGAGGTCGTCCTCCGTGAGACTTAGGTGGTTGGTCACGAGCGATGCATCTAATTTGACTCTGCTGAATTCTCGTCGTCGGTCCACTTCTTTTGTGAGTACTTGCGGATATGCTCGCGTGGCGAGGCCAAGCTTGACCACCGCCGCCGACGTCGTTGTCGTCATCGCGGTGGTTGCTTCCTTGTCTTCGGACGTCGTCGAAGCCGCAAAGGCGACGCGCATCACGTCTCTCAATGTTTCATTCGGCAGCGCCTAATGGGAGCGAACACGACACTGCATAAGACTGTCTATAATATGCATGCTAAATGACTCTACCTCGAGTTCCTTGGTGAGGGCGATGAGGCGTGTGTGAATCTCGCGCATGAGTAGATCCGAGAACGCAAACCCTTTGCGGCACTCGTCCTTGAGGTCTTTCACATCTTGGTTGGATAAGCGTTGGAACAATGCGAGGATGGTGTGCTCTGCCAGGAGGGGACATGTCAGTTCCCGGCGCAGGGCAAACTGGATAAATCGTTTCGGTTCAGTGAGGTAGTCAATGCACGCCTTGCGCAGTCGTTTGCAATCCAAGTCCTCGGCCAAAATCAACAGCTATGTATCACAACACCAGAGCTTCGTGAACCACCGGATGGTTTAACAACGTGGTGGACATGTTCACCCAAGTTGAACGAATTGAAAAGGTGCAAACTGATATATATACTGTACATTGTACCTGCAAGAGACATTCGGACGAGCCAAACACAGCCTCCACCTGCTGCGTATTGACGGCCATCGCATGTTCGAGCTGCAAAATAGTCAGGTCCATGGAATTTCGGTACAGTTCTAGCGCCCGCAGCCGTTCGTTTTCGATGCGCACGACCAGTGAGTCTCGTCTATCGGCGTACTTGGCATGGATCTTTTCAATTTCCGACTTGAGCGTGGCGGCGTGCATCGCGTGCAGCGCGGCCAAGTCGTTTTGCAGCGCTTGGTCCAAGAACGACGTGGTCTTTGCGACCTCTCGTTGTCGTGCGTTGTCCAGCACACTCACGTAGCGGGTGGCCTCGGACGCGTACAGGCCGTTGATTTCGTCGCTGCACAGGCGGTTGGTCCTTTGAACGGCTTCATATTCGTCTGCGATCGTCAGGCGGCGCTCCACAGTGTGCTGGTCTTTGGCAAACAGCACCTACATCCATCACCCCACTTTCTTGAAGAAGGGGAACTAGTAGTTGGGAAAAGTGTAAGAAGAACGTACGAGCCGGGCGAGCACTGGCTCACTCAAGTGCTGATAGCACGCGATCCCATCGTAAGCTGCCACGTCATCGGTGATGACCAGGCGTTCACTGGCGGTGCCCACCGCGGGGTAATATGTCATGGTGCCGTTCGTATACTGTCGCGGGCCAGACGTTACATCAGAGATCGCCGCGCGGGCCAGAAATCGATCGATCACCGCTGAGCACTTGCGCAGCTGAAGCTTGGACACGTCCATGTCGTACTACATACATCATGGCATGATTCGTCGGTGCAACTACTATTCAAAAGACGTATGGCTCTAGGCGTAGTTCGTACAGTCGGAAAGTGTTTGCTGTGCACTTGAACGTGCAGCCAATCGTCGACTAGCGAGCCGCCGCTATCTGTGTCGTCTAGATGGGGCTGCAGAATGCTCTGGAGGTTCGACGAAATGTCTACAAATGCTGCGAATTCTGGACGAAGGGTTTCTTTCGTGACGATGTCGTGCTTGGATGCGACGGGCGTTTGCAACAGAGTGCTGATGTACATGCGGAGAATGCCGTGGTCTGGGTTAGACAACTGGAGGTTTGACAGGCGCTTGTTGATTTGAGCTGTGCTGCGCTCGACGCCAAATGTCGAGCAAAACGCATGCAAAAACTCGGCGTCGGTCGACCACCGCGGCGGGGCAAAACATTTTTGCCGCACAATGCACAAGTCCTCTTCGACCGTGAAGAACGGATCGGTCCAGTTCGCCCGCGGAGTTTCAATATCCAACATCGACCCTTGTCGAATCGAAAGCACTGGCGCCGCTGCGGCGAACATGCGCGACGAAGTTCCACGGAGCTGCATGGTGAATGAAACGGGTGGTTAGTAGCAGTTACGCAGTGTTGTGTGAAACTGTCATATGCAGGCAATGTTACGAAGGGAATCAATGAGCTGTCCTTTTCGTAATATGTACCGGTAGCCGTAATGCGTGTGTTACTTGAGCGCTACTGTAGAGCTACCGTAGTTGGACTTCTAGTGTGCATTTGTGTGTCTGCAAGTGGGCAAATTCGCTTCAATGTCAAGCGTCAAAAGGGGAGGGGGAATGGGGCCACGATGTTGCATAGGTAGGTAATGTTACTACCAGAACAGATACGGCAACGTGGGTACGCGTGTGAGTTGTCATCACGGAATGGGATACTGCATGGACTACACCTAGGGGGACTCCTTCGCCTGCGATGTTGGATTGTATCACATATCACTTGCACACCTACGTCCATATTTGGCGTGGTACGAGCTTTTTTATTCCATGTCCGCGCAAACAATGTCAATGGCAAAGCCCCAACGTTGCCATTTCATTCTACCTGGTGTAGCTTCCTTATTTGTTTCGCCCCCGATGCACGCACAATCGTGAAACGCTTGAAACTGCTTGGGCTATTTGCAACTCCAACACGGCGAGAGCGATGTTGGCCACGGCGCAAGTAGGACCAACATACCTCTGTGGATATAACTTGAGCTATGTAGCTGCCGTCTGGAGCTGTCGCTTTGTCGTCGCCGGGGGGAATGCCAGTGCCTGGCCACAGCAGCGGCGATGTGTTTAACAAGGACACGTTCTTGACATCCCTGCGCGATGCCACAGGGGACGGTGGACCGGCTATCGTGGCTGCAGCATACGAACCCAAGGGGTACTACATATGCTAAGAGCTATTCATTTCGTCCTGATGATTTTCGGGGTTAGCATGACGAGCGTGCGTGAAAAGTACACGCAATTGCACGACGTGGTCGGGTCGTTGTCGGAGAAAATCACGGCGGTGCTCGTGCGTCAGGAAAAGGATTTCCTCGCCGCGTACCGCGCGCACATGTACAACGTTCAAAAGGAGCTTCATGACACGAAGGAGAAGATCTTGCGCAACGAAACGCTCGAAAACAAGTCCGAGAAGATCAAGTTGCTCGAAGAGGAGCGCGACTGGTACCGTTAGGGAATGGCTGGGGCATATGGGAGAACATGATGGGGGGATGCATGATGTAGGTACCGCAAGGAAGCGTTGCGGCTAGACACGTTCACGACCAACATGAAAAAAGACCTAAAGCATATGAAGGAAAAGTTAGAGTGCATCGAAGAAGACCGCGATTGGCTCGAAAAGCAGCTCAAAGCGTCCAAAAAGCAAAACAAACTGCTCCGGGCAGGTACTAATACTCACTAGCCATCATCCCTAGTGATGATCGTCGGTTTTCGTTATGATGACACAGAACTGGAGATCCGACTGGCGAATTTGACGAGCCAAGCCGAGGACAAGATGGACACACGCCCGGCATCCCCTGCTGTCGACGACATGTACGTCACACCACGATAACGTCATGGGGTTGTCCCCAATATGTAATAATGATGTAGTAGGGACAGCCCGCCGCCGGGACTCCATCTCCCGCTCGCCGCCGTGGAGCGAGAGGAGCAGTTCCGAAAGCAAATCCGTCAACTCAAGCGCGACCTTCAAGCCAGCAAGCGCGAAGTGAATAGGTTGCGCGAAACCACAAGCAAACAACAAAGCAACGAGCTCGAGGAGTTTTTCGTCCAGAGCATCGACGCCGTGAAGAAGGACATTGTGCGGCGTCGGGGGCACAGCCGAGACGCCAAGACACGCCCCATGCCCGCGCTCAAGGTCGAGCCAGTTCCAGGTACGTTCTAGAGTTAGTTTGCAATTCCTTCATGTGGATGTGGACTAGATTGCGGACCTGAAATGAAGGAGTTTACGTCGGTTGACCGCGTGCGAGTGATTGAACGGCTCTTGTCCCATGACGAAGTGCTGTCAATATTGTATGACAACTTGTTTCCGTCGCATGATAAGAAACCCCCGGACGGAAGCGCCAAGATGCCGTTGGCTAGTGCGGTGAGTTCGTTCACAAAGAAGAAGGGAGTGGGGGGGTTGATCGATATGGATAGGGGGACTCTGTGAAAAAGCCACAACCGGTGGGCAGTGGCGCCGCAGCGGTGGTGGCGAGTCGAGAGATGACGACGCAAGGCGGGGGCATCATCCCTCTTGACGAGTCGACGCTGGAGTATCTCAAATTGACGTTCGTGAAAGCACCGTTCAATGAGCTTTCGTGTACTAACCATACATGATTATTGTAGCGGGGCCTCGCTGCGATGAACGATGGCGCAGAAAAGAGCGTGGGTAGAGTTAGAGAGTTGTTTGAAAGTGACGGCACAATAAAAAGGACCAAACTGATGGTGCTTGCCTTGTCTGTCATTACGTTAACACTAACTCGCTGCTTCGTTGAAAATAAACCTGATCCATTGGACCGACCGTGCGTGTATATACCAGTATTAACGTTAACGAATCGTGGAGACACCACGTTGTTGCCGTCGATAATGCCCTGGAATCACGTGTGAAGTTAGTTAAGTAGCTCTGTATGTAACTATGAGACATCCAAGGATTAACAAAGCAAGGTCATATTTTATTGTGGGGCTATTTTTAGGATGGCGTCGACGCGGCTTAATCATGACAATCGACCGCCCGTGGACGTGATCAATGACATGATGTTGTACCAAGGGGGAAGCGGAGGTCGGTGTACGTTTGCCTGTCAAGCAAGCTATAACCAAAGCCTGGTTCCGTCGACTCGCCCGCCTCGTTCGTATCCGTCCAGCGCCGCCTCTCGTCTCCCAGACGACCCCACTATCTTTCGCACGACATTCAAAACGCCGCTACAGTTGGACCTTAAGATCGAATCCGCGTCCAAAAACGTGGCTGGACAGGGCCCCTACGCCCCCCCGAGGTTCTGTTGGCTCGAGAATTCCCAAAGCAATTGTAGGCCAAGAATCGTCACAATCACTGTCGTAGCTCCCACGACTTTCGCCCGACGGGGGGTCTTAACATCACTGACGATGACTTCCGAGCCAAATTCACGCTCCCGTCCACCCAAGACGTCCGCTGCCAGATTGCACAAAACCAAGTACGTCCATCCACACACCGATATTGCTCCATTGTCGACATATACTTGACGTGATTGGGTCTCTTCAACGACTGCTGCCAAGAACGACATTTGTGGTATTTGACGGTTGGTGGTTTGTAGGAAGGGTATCTGAAGGGGGCGTCGTTGAAAAATATCACGTGTGATCGATACGACCCCCGCGAAGATGGCAAACCGGTATGTAGTCCCCCCCCTCTGTTGGTTCCTGAGCGAATGGGCTTGGTGTTTCCTATAGGCTTTTCGCTTGCAACTGCCCCATACGTCGAGCAAGACGGGCAACCTCAACTTGCGATTGCAAGTGACTCTCGATCAAGCTGGGCTGTTTCAAGGCGGGCAAAGTATCCGCGACCATCAGTATCGCCACACACATGACGTCAACGTGGCGGTAACGTTATGGGGTCCATAAATGTATCATTGAGACCTACTATGAGTGGACTGCGATAGAGTGGCATCGACGACGCCCCACGGTTCGAGCTCGAGTTCAAACCCTCAGGCAAAGGCTACGGCTGCGTCGATATAGGGACAAAGCAGAGACCACAGGACATCACCAAGTGACAAGCATTCTGTGGTTATATTGCTGTTAGCTAGACTTGAGAGAGTCCAAGGCCTATGCGCGTGGTTTCGATAACAAGGATGAACACGACTTCAGTAAATTTACAGGTAGTACCAGTAAATTGAATTATCACCCTCAAAAATTATATTAATAGCATTTATATAGCATTATATATCTATTCAATAAAAGTTCAGGTTTTTCTAAACTACTTCGAAGTAATATACTATTAAAATCTTAAGATTTTAAACCTCAACTACCTCAGTTTCATCACTTTCACAACGGCACTCGTTTGGTCAAATCGGTGGTTGCACACTTTCCTCAACGAGAATGAATACTAATTGTATTTCAAAAAGCCACTACTACTGTACGTCGAGTTTTTGTTTAATTGGGAATACTATCTAGAGCACATCCGCAATGTCTTGGTCAGTTTCCCGCAGGCTATACTCTTCGTCCTCTGCGTCGTCCATAAACGTCCGCGTGGCACGATGTGAGCTCTGGTGGGTACGCACGTGGTGGTGGTCGTTGGCTGGCGGGGACATCGGGGGGGGGGGCATCTCTTGAGGGGAAAAGTACCATTCTACAAGGGTAAATGAAACTCCAGAGTACAACCTAGGTATGTCGAATAGTCACGTACCAGATGCAGCTTCGTCATCGTCGAATAGCCCCGAGCTGCGACGGACAGCTTCTCGGATGGCGTCGATACCAGTGAGCGTAGTAGGGGCACATCCGGCGTGGGTGAGTTCAATCGTACCAGTCTGAGGAGTTGCATCCTGTGACTTTTGAGCAAAGAGGGCGTTGAACCGCGTGAGGAGCTCCACGCGGGTGTTGAGGGTCGTGAGGGCGTCGGCGCTGAATGTGTCGAGGGTATCCAACATATCTTGGCACGACGGATGATGGTGGTGGCTAGCAGTAGTAGTACTAGCATCGCTACCGATCGCCTGACTAGTACGACTACTCGTCGTTGTGGAGGATCGTTTGTCGTATGCAAACAGGTACTTTTGCTTGAGAAAGTCGTGGCGCTCCAATATATTTGCTGCTGCGTCGGGCCGACGTGGCACGACAAACCAAAGCGCTTCGTACGCGAGTAACGCCCCTGCGACACTGAGCAGGTAAAACGTCCACCGATCTTGGCTCGTGTACTGGTCAAAGTTGGACGCCGTAAAGAACAACACCCCGAGGTTGATTACCACACAGAGCCGGGATAGCATCCCCAAGTAGATGAACCACGCGCCAATGTCTTGGGCGTCGCGGGGCAGGGGGCGGCGGGTGCAGTAGCACAGCTTGTACGCGTCCATGCGGAGATTGATGGCAGTTTCAGCAAACGCAAAGATAGGGCCGGTCGGTAAGGGAAAGATGAACAGCGTGAACAAGCCAAACTGCACCACGATCTCCGAGTAGTCTTCATATGTGTTTTCATATGTGGCCAATGAGAGCTCGTACTCCAAGTCATACCGAGCGAGGTTGGTGGTAGTACTACTAGTACGTGTCCCCACCATGAGTTGAGTTATAGGTATGACCATCCCGAGGACATTGGACAGCACGCGCCAGCTAAACATGACGAGCAGCAAGTTTTCCAGTTCTGGGATACAGTTGTGGGCGTAAGAGATGGCGGCAAAGTGCGTTCCATTGGGTTCGAGTGCCGACAAGTTCACGCACCCAAGGGTCGTGCGCTTGACGAACGATACAAACAACAGCGCCGAGAAATGGTACAAGCTTTGCAGGCCAAACACTACAAAAAGTATATGGAAACATGTCATACTGTATCTCAGCTCGGATACTATATACTAGTAATACATACACAGATGAATACAAAGAGTACATGGAAAAATATTGTACAGTACTTTTCATGATCAAATAGTGCTCGTAGTCCGATTGTGTGCGATAGTTTTCGCGATCGTTGAGCCAGTGTGCCAGCTACAACCGTGCAATGCGTTGGATTGGTTTATATATGTATATATACATATATATATATATATATTCTTTGATAATAGTACCTTGGACGTGTACGATGCATTCGCTTGAATAAACAACACTTGGAGGATCGAGGTGAGGGTTGTGCCCACAACTGGCCCCGCCGCGTGCACAAGTGCCGGCTGGAGCAGCGAAAACAGCAGGACCACCACGGTGTAGAACCCCAGCATGAGGGCGCCGATGGCTGCCGCGGACGTCGCTTGCAGTTGCATCTATTCAAGGCATTCATTGTATAGTGTAAACCAAGACAGTATGTAAATAGTGTACCCGCATGATGGTTGAAAAGACTCGCTCGACTTGATTTGTGATGGGGTTAACTTGCTCGGTGCCGTAATAGTCGGCGCGATCTTGCTCGTTGTCTTCGATCCCGTGCATGCCCCATGCTATGGCACACATGTAGTTCTTGCGTTGCCAGCACTTGGCGTAGACGAATGCCCAGACCAGCACGACGAGCCCCACCGGCATGTCATGCAAGTACACTCCTCCATCATCGTCCTCCTCCACTGACGATAACGAAGACGGAGAATCGTAGCTGTGAAAGTTGCCGCGACGCACGACAATATACACAATCGAAGCGACCACGGGAAACAGCAGACACTGCGCGTAAAACCCAAGCCACAAAAAGTACAGCGCGATTTGCTCGCCAAAGTACCCGCGGACGTCCGCTAGCGGTTGCCGGAACGGAGAGATGCGGCACCAAAAGTTGGCAAAGTACCGCTTGTCTGGGTCGGGTTCCCCTGGCAGGTGACGAGGCCGCCAATACGTCAGCCATGAAGACGACAGCGACACTAAGTTCGTCTAGACCGAAAACACCTTAGTTGACAACGACAATGAATAATTGCACATCTGTTCCAAACAACGACAAAGTGCACTTTGCCTAGAAGCGATATATCATTTTTCAAGTCAAAACGCTTTTAACAAAATATATCTAGTCCGACCACCAAAATTAATTTATAATTAAAGTCATCGCCAGCGATCATCATTCTGGCCTCAGGACATCAAACTCGTCGAGCACGATAATACATACATTCATGAGAAACGTTGTCACACAAGTCACCCACGACGTCGTCGTCGTGTCGTTTTGAACGCTGTCACAAGTCAGTAACAACCCAACGTAATCGTGTCGTGTGGTGTGTATAACGAGAGATAGGTATATATATATATATATCACAAGTCAGCAACAACCCAACGTAATCGTGTCGTGTGGTGTGTATAACGAGAGATAGGTGTATATATATATGTACCCATTCGAATCGAGAGGCGCTGTGGAGGCACGAGAACCCGTCCAAGAGGCCATTGGATAACATCCGAGCCGTGTCCATTTCATCATGGATGACCAGATGCAGCAGCTTGAGGCAGTCGGTGACTTGAAACACGGAAGGCGCCACGTCCGTCGTGGGCAGATCCAGCTGCGTCGAGTGCCGGTGGTACAAGTATTGCATGGCATTTTTGCGAAAGTACGGCACGTACGGCGTGTACCGGTACGGCGGCGGCATCTTTTTGGTTTTGTCGTCTTCAATGAATAACGCGTGGCGCGAGTGCACGTTGATGCGGCGCGAGATCTGCGACATGGTTTCGTCGGGGAAAAATTGGTTTTCCACCACCGTGAGCGCGTGCCGCCCGTACAATGCGCATAACTTTTGCTTGGCGGTTTGCACATCGTACACTGTGTTTTCAATCGTCACTTGCCTGGGCGTCCAGAACTACAACGCCAAAAGAAGATATTTATCAGGTCGCATATATATATATATATATATAGATGGATATTATATATATATATAGATGGATATTATATATATATATAGATGGATATTATATATATATATATATATAGGTTGTTGTGAGGAAACAAAACACGTACGGATACACCGGGGTCGACGGCATTGCGCACTTGGAGCTTGTACTTGCGCGCTTCGGCTTCTTCGGCCACGACTTTGCGCGGCGCGGTGAGTTTAAAGTACAATTGCTTGCCGTCCCGGGATATATTGACGCTCACCTAAGAAACACATCGAGTGGGTCGTTAGATACGTATATA